GAGTCCAGTCCAAACTAATCACAGATACTTCCTTTGAAGTCGGATTGCATCTGCCTGAGAGGCGAGGAACCAACAGTCTGCATACAAATAAGCCAGATCTATCAAATAAATGTGCATGCAAAGCTCAAGTTCTGGAATAAGACCAGAGTTGATATGTGGATAAACAACCAGAACTTTCCATCGCAGTTTACAGGTGTTTTGAATACTGACATACCGGGAAGGCTAACCCAGTCAACAAATGCCCGCAGAAGTCGGATGTGTTGGCCGAAAGGTGCAAAGATGGCAGCCATGCTGTAAACGGACGCATCACAATTACATCTTCGGATGAACGCAGAAGAAGAAGAAGAAGAATACTGACATGAAAATGGATGTGCATACAACACACAAGTTCATGAACAAGATAAAAGGTCCAGAAGTGGGCAAACAGCTAGAAGTTTCTGCTGGAGTTTACAGCAATGAATGCAAAGATGAAGATAATATGAGCCAGATAAAAATGTAGTTGGTTCTAACAATCTTCTTCTTCTTCAGCATTCTAAGCTTTTGAGGTTCATTGTGCAGATATCCCCTGCCTCCATTGTCTCTGTGATTGGCCTCTTTTCAAATGGTGACTCAAAGTGTTTGTAGGTATGTCTGTATATTACCTCTCCACCATTTGTTTAGTCTGTATATTATCTCCCCACTGTCTTTTTGGCCTGCCTCCTGGTCGATTCCCATTCAGCTCTTTTGTGCACAGTATGTTTGTTTCTCAGCTATCTGCCATTCTCTCTATATGCCCCAATCTTTGCAGTCCATTAACCTTTGAGATGCCAGCAATTAGTGGCATGACTTTCACTGCTGCTTCTCATTTTCCATCCTCCACTGTTTGCATCTTTGATGGGTCTAAAGATTTGATGTAAGACTGTTCTCAACAGTTTGTAATATGACAGTGGTAGATAGCTGGGAGATTGAATTCTAGTCAGATTTTTAGCTTGAGTTCACCTAATTGTGGGTACTGCCACAATGCAAGATGTTGGGTATGTTAATAAATAAATGAGAATCACCATACACATCATGGGCACCCAAAAACCTGGCCTTCACTGTATTTCATAACCATAAATTCCTGTATTTTTCTATGTATTCACAACTGCATGAGGTATTTAATATGACTCTCCGAAAGATGGAGAAAATGCTGATAAGACGATACTGCTTTATGATAGTAGGAATGATAACATTAAAAAAAACTGGTCTTCACCGTATTTCATAACCATAAATTCCTGTATTTTTCTATGTATTTACAACAGCATGAGTTATTTAATTAAACTCTCTGAAAGATGGAGAAAATGCTGATAAGACGATACTGCTTTATGATAGTAGGAATGATTACATAAAAATTTAAAATATAAAAACTATGCAATAAAAATCAAATGTAACTGGTTAAAAAAAAAGTGTTTGGCTAGTTTCTCGTAGTTTTCAGTATTTTCTGTCTGTTTTTTGGCTTAATACATTAGTAAAGATGTCTAAAATTATTTAAAAGTATACTAAATCATACTGAACAGACCCAATAGCAAAAAAAGCTGTTGGCACCTCATTTATATACTTATAGCAATTATAAATGGAGATACTTATTTTGTGAGTAAATTAATTAAGTATGAAGCATCAATAAAAGATGTACACATTTTACAGTGAACAAACAAATGCTAATTTAGTAAAAAAAAAAAAAAGGTAAAGGACCCTTTTCCACGCCTTTAGGCGTTTAGGGCATATAGGGCTAGACCTATATTTTTATAGACCAAGCGGCACAAGATGGGTGATGTGGTCAGCATCACGCCACTGATTAAGTACTAATATATAAATAGTTCTACCAAACGTCACTCATTTAAACACACACATATTCCTGTAATGAAGGCTGTTAATGTTAACACATCTACTGTACAGATCTGCTGCAAATATATATGATATAATATACAGACAGTTGCTGAATAAAACCAGCTGGTAATATTCACATATTTCACACAGAACTATACAGAATTTACGGTTCTCCTTGCAATAACGGTCGCTACTTGGACGGTGACGGCCGCTTCGTCGGAGTTCAGTCCCCTGGCTGTAGCGCAATTACGGAGTGGACAAGGCACGAATCACAAAACAAAGATATAGCGGCCATCATTATGGATAAGTACTCGACTTTACATGTGTTACCCTAACCCTAAACCAAACCCTAACCCTAACCCTAATTATGACATTTGCTTCGTTCCCTCTTTTCCACTCCGTAATTGCACCGCAGCCAGGGGACTGAACTCCAATGAAGCGCCGTCGCCGCCGTCAAACTAGCAACCGTTATTGCAAGGAGAACCGAATTGACTTTTCTTGCATTAGAGGTGGGACAGCTGGTGGTAGTGTGGTTATTGGTAGAGACAGCAGTCCAAATTCAGTTCTCAGTAAAGATAGAGGTCCCCCCCCCCACCCACCCGGGTCAATATAGCTCTGATGTCATGACATGACCAAACCATGTAGTTTATCCCCTTATGATGTGAGCAATCAGTTCTCTTTATGACACTTTCATTACTCACGTTATTTATTTCCATGTTATTTTTGACTAATCATACAATGAGCAGATTTTACAGCATCCTACATCTACTTTATCAATGAAGCTTCACATGTCTCTGGTGGCAAATGTCTGATGCCCAGAAAAACAATGTGTCACTTAAATATACCACATTATATACATATTTAGGATGTACAATCACTCAGTCTCCACTCTTGGATAGTCTTCTACTAGCCTGCTTGGTGATAAAGGGATGTCCCTGAAGCTCTAAAGCTCCTGGTCTGGCCTCCTGGTCTCTGAAATGATCAGATTATGTATAACACTATTATTTACTGTGTGGCAAAAGCAAACATGGAGACTGATTATCCACTAAAATAAATAGACGCATATTGTTGAGGCTTTTACTTTGTACTACAATAAAGTAGATGAACTATCCCAAGCAAGACTAACCCAGTCAACAAACCTGGAAAAGTTGAATGTGTCAGCCAAAAGATGCAAACATTGCAGCTCTGCTGCAAACACGTAAACACAATTACAACTGAACACAAAACTATCAGATCAATTGGAAAATTTATAAATCATTCTTTTTTTAAAAAATAAATTAGGGTTTTCGATTTGTTGGTCTCAAGTTCAGATGAGAAAGGAGGATCAGCTTCCATACAAATGAATGTTATTTGTACCCAAGTGAATACAAGCCTGAAGGAATTTTAAAAAGTAAAGAGTAAAGGTCCCTTTTCCACACCTTTAGGCGTATAGGGCATATAGGGCTAGACCTATATTTTTATGGGTGACGTGGTCAGCATCACACCAGCAGCCTTTACTTCCCAGGACTGGACCCAGTACCCACTCAAGGCTGGGTCGACCTGGGAGTCAAGGTTATTTTTTTTTTAAAGTCCGGCTCCGCTAGGGAGTAAACCCACGACCTTCCGATCCGCACACGGGTGTCTAGCTGCTGAAGGAATTACAAGAACATTATTTGTTCTTCTTCTTCTTAGCATTGAATGGCTGTAAACTCTGGCAGAAAGTTCTGGCTCTTCATCCACTTGCAGATTTTAGTCTTATTCCAGAATTGTTTGTGTGTACATGGGTTTTACAGATGTGGCTTACCAGTTTGTAGACTTTTGGTTCCTTACCTCTCAGGCAGATGAGCTCCAACTTTGATGGGAAAAAACCCCCAATTAGTCATCTTTTACTACATGCTTGCTGGGAAGACAGTGGCTCTTTTCTTTCCAACTCAAAATGCGGCTCCGGAACCCACACGGGGAGGAAAATAATTACTTTTACAATACAATTACAACCATCATATTTGTTAAAAAAAATAAGTTCAGAATAACAAAATTGAGGATAGATGATACAATGTAGCTGTATGGAAGAGGAGGAGGATGAGGCAGAGAAGATGAGACATAAAACTTCATACCTGTTGAGAAATCATGTGGCTTACCTTGTCATACACTGACTAACAAAATCCCTGGCATCGTGGGAAAATCTGCTCCCAAGTGTAGGTACAGGCCGGGAAGAAGACCCAATAGCAAATATGGCAGCCATTGGATTCATATCAGCCCTGTAGATATAGACAGTTCAAATTATGTCTTATCATGCCAAGTTATTCTACTTAACTGATGTGAAGTTTTGAACATATTATTCATACATTCCAGATATGGGATCTATTCATACACTTATTGTTGGAACAGATAAAGTGATGGTTTCTCTGTGAATTCTGCATCCCCATGAGTGGTTTGTGACCTCTGCCTTTGACAACAGACAAAGTCCAATGGACTGTTTATGACAAATTTAATGTGTTTGCTCACCCTCCACCACTACATGGTGGTGGTGGTGGAAAGCGAAGTCCTAATATTTGAGAATTCTTCTGAAGGAGATGCAGACATTTACATGAATGGGTCTTTGATTCAACTTGCACAGCTCATTGATATTTACAGAACAGATTAGAATGCAAATTGTGAAGTAAGACTACAGTGGTTTTGCCTTGACTACAAGTAATATTATTATGGAGACCATGACAGTAACTAAAGCAACAGCCTGGCTGGAGACAAAGACCTTTACTAGGGCATGCTTTCTTAGTGACTCAATGAGCATACTCTGAAAAACTGAGACTGGCTGGGCTTGAAAACTATGGTGAAGTCTATGAGAAGATAATGGCTGAAAGCTGTTCATTCCATTTATGTCTTGGGCATGTTTGTGTAAGAGGAAATGAACAAGCCAGTAGGTTTGCAAAAAGTGTTTTTTTTTTTTAAATTGTAGAAAGTGGATGAGCAATGTGACAGGATGATATGCAGAATGTTGTCATTGAGGCAACACAACTAAAATAATATAGTAAATGCTGTGAATCAGCAAGATTAACTAGACTGCAAGAAAGGCAAGTAAACAGGGGTGAAATGGTGAATAAACTTATGAACGAACAAACTTTATTTTCAAAGGGTTACAAATTGGGCACGCAGACCCGTCTGACATTCAGCCCTTCTAAGCACTCAGTTTTCAGAGTACCAATGCCTGTTATCAATAATGCATGTTATGGATGTAATAAAGAAATATACATTATGGAATAATGTATACACACATCATGTGTACACAATCTTACACACACACACACACACAATCTTAAAGTCTCATACATGCACACTGATAAACAGACATACGTAATAATACATACACGCACTAAGGGCACTAAGAAGAGCGCCGAGAAAAATAGTAAACCACAACATAACTGGTGTTGAAAGTCACTACATATCAAAGTATACACTGAGAAGGGGATATGATCACTTACACACTGAATAGTTTGTTGTGCAGCAAGCACTCTACTACTCAGTGTCCTTTTAAAATTAAAAGTTGTGGTTGGAATTTTCCCTTCAGTTGAGGCCATGAAGACTTTCATTGGCAATGCAGAGATCAAAAAGCATGAAGAACCTATGGCAAAGCACTAGTAAATTGGTTAAAGTAAAAATCTTGAGATCATGCATTTTTCCTGTGGCAACTTACGGTTGTGAGTCCTGGACTCTCACTCAGTCACTGAGGAAAAAGATTGGAGCTTTTGAATTGAAATGTTTTAGAAAAATTCTTAGAATATCATGGATCAGTCAGAGGAAAAACATCGACATTCTGATTGAGTTGAACATCAAGGAGAACTGGCTCATAAACAGCATCCTGTCCCGAAAGTTGAAGTATTTAGGCCACATCAAGCGTCATGGTGGCTTGGAGAAGACGGTGATGGAAGGTGCAGTTTGTGGAAGACAAGGTATTGAAGATGCATTGGCACTGAAAGCACATGGAGCCGGAGAGCTGGCTAGAGACAGGGATACTTTCAGGCATGCCGTGAAGAGAGTATGTTAATGTCCTGGGAAGTCCCTGTGTGGTTTCTGGGGCCTCATTTTGAAGGGAAAAGAATAGATCCACTGCTCCTCTAACAAGCTTGTTGTAAAAGATGACTAATTAGGGGTGTTTATTGCTGTCATAGTGAATCTGCAGGACAGGCAAGGAGCCAACAGTCTGCATACAAATAAGCCATATATGTTAAACAGAGGTGCACACAACATTCAAGTTCTGGAACAAGACTAAAGTCCAGAAGCAGACCAACAAACAGAACTTTCCACTGGAGTTTGCAGACAGTAAACATGAAGAAGAAAAAGAAGACTACATAGTCCCAACTGACTTGTTTTTAGTTTATACTTCAGCAGACAGTGGTCTGAGGAGATTTGAAAAAAAAAAACAAATGGGGGCAAGGTATGATAAGACAGCTACAGGAATAAATGGACTGAAATTATTTCTTCATTAACAAAATAGAAGTACTAGTTACATACACAAAGACAGAACCAAATGAATGTTAAAGACCTACCAAGGAGGCTTGCGTGTTGCCATTTCAAACACTGTGCATCCTATGCTCCTGCAAGTAAATTTAAAAAAGAAATTATTAAAACAAATATTTTACATTTATGAACATTAAACTACTCCTGCACACTTACAAAGTAGAAGAAACAGTTTCAGACCATAAGGAGAACCAAGGAAGAGATGGATTGACAACACCAACAACAATGCAAACTCACAGTAGCCAAGTCAATACATTTGGTACTAAGACAAAAACACAAGAGGTTGTGATTCCTAAGTCTCACTATAGCATAATGTAATATCTCTCAAAACTTCACTGGGCAGGTCGTGGTCATATAGTCTGCATGCCTGACAACTGACTGCCAAAAAGAATTTTCTAAGGTGAGCTACAAAAAGGAAAATGCTCTTAAGGTGGACAGAAAAAACGTTTCAAGGACAACCTCATTGAAAGACTTCTGTACTGATCCTAAAACCTGGGAAGTCGCTGCATATGATCGCTTATCCTGGCACTCCTTTCATCATCGAGGTGCTGTGGTGCATGAACTGCTAGAATGGCAGCAGCAATTCAGAAAAGTAAATTCAGAAAAGACAATGAAGAAAATCAGCAGAGAGATGTGGCCTCAATTCCCTGTCAACTCTGCTCAAGAACTTCCAATGCTAAAACTGGCTTTATCAGCCATATGCACACTCATAAAACCTAATTCAGTGACCAATGGATGAAAGGACTGATCATCATCACCTATAAGTGACAAACAGAGTAGCGTTGCTTTTCTGCAGCAACACGGCATCTTGCATTCAGCCAGAAATTCTGGGTACCAACAAGTAAAGTTTAAACAACACTGTAGGTACTTTTTAAGAGCCCACCCCACCACCCTTTCCCCAGATGGGGATGAGATTTCAAAATATTAATTCCATAGCCTTTTGTAAACGTGTTATGATTGGATAAATTTTGCAGCTAAAGCTTTCTACAGAATGAGGCTCAAGTCAGTCTTATGACATGCATAGTAAGTTACAGTGCAACTACTTTTTAAAGGTTAAAGTTGAGAGAATCAACTTCATTGCATGCGGTTTTATCTCATATGGCTTGGTCTCTGTCCGCAGAACAGCAAGCCATCTACTGAGAGCATGAACTCTGTAGCTCCAACCATGATCCCCAGGGATCTCCGTAAAAACTGCCCTTATGAACTGAATAGTGAAGCCGTAAAATGAACCCACGGCCTTTAGAGCGCAAGGCAAACAGCTTGACCACTTCATCATGGTTTACTTTCTGTACGGGCCTCATTAACACAAGGGTGATTTCATGAGTGGCTGAAGGGAACTATCAAGTAAGAAAATGGGAGAATTGAAACAACAATTTACCAGATGTCAGATTTTTTTCCATGTCCACTTTCATTGACAACTTCTGGAGCCATCCAAAAAGGTGTGCCATTCATAGATTTTAGAAGCTCAGTCTGGGACATGCTCATGTTGATGCAAAGTCGTTTGGCACAACCAAAGTCAATGAGCTTGATCACACCATTTGGCATCAGCATCACGTTGGCCCCTTTGATATCTCTGTTAGAAATAAGACGGCAGCTTTGGATATAACATTTTAAATTAGGCACAAATTACTTTAAATGAACACTTGGTAATTTAAACAAAATTTATCAAATACACAGTTTCTAGTGACAGGGAATAAAAACAGAGCTTCTGAAAGAAATTAAAAAATTTTTTGGGAGAGACTGGGAATGAAAAGAGAGTTACTGAGACACACAGCATCCAGCTGAGTAAACAAACAAATAAGCCATCAAGTAATCAATCAATAATCTGTGTATGCAATACAAATGAGGGTTTACCAACAAAACACACCAGAATGAATTGAAATAATTTACAATATTTGTCCGTAGTCAGTTTTCAACAAATGATTCATTTTTGTTGTTGTTGGAAAAATACAATAAGTATTGACTGATACTCATAGAAGAAATAGGAAAAAGGGGAACTCTGATGAAACACTAGATAATGGTATAATTAACAGCTAGCATGCATGCTAGGATTTGAATCTGTTGCTTCAAATGAAGGGGTAGGTGTACTTTGAAAAACAATTAACATTAAGAGAAGAAGCAAGACGGGCATAGAATCAGACTGCTACTGTTACCATACAAATTCTAACTTTGCACTAGCTGCTGAAAATAAGGACAGGGCACTTATGAGAATGCTGTGATACCAACTCTGAACTCAGCTCAATTTAACTCAACAGCCAGTTTGACAGTCTAAACAAATGTCTTCAGTAGACAGATCTGTTTCTAATTTAAAACATGAAATAAGATCCAAGACCATAGCAGCCATCTTTATAATGCATTAACTATTTCAGTACCAGGGCACCTCTTCCTTTGTTTACTAATTACTGCATGCACTGTGTAAATTTGCTAACTTACGCTGTCATTCATTTACGTTAATCCATTCTAATGCAGTGTCTACTGACTCTTAGAGTATGTTGAGAAAGGTGGAGACATGCTACGTGCAGAGTGGCAAACATCGCTTCAGAGGTCCCGGGTAGGTAAGGTCCTTCGGATATTTTCTCCAGGTTATGCTGGTGTGTTGGGAAATGAGCAGGCAGATAGACTGGCCAGTTCAGCACCATTTTGTGGTGAAATGTTATTTGAAAAGCTAGATGGTGTTAGGGCCCTTTGGGAGCAAGAGAACAGTGCAGAGGCACAGATCATTAGGGTCTAATGAGAATAGCAATGCGGGGAGTTACCAGGGGATCTGGCCAACGCTTAACACTCAAGGGAAAGGCGAGACGGATGTACAATTAGACAGTTGCTGATAACATCAAAAGTGGAACTCTTCACTTGCTGCTGAAGATGGGGATGGAGTGCCTATGTGAGAGTCCCGAGTGCTATGATGTTGATTCTTAATTCAACATTCAACAATAATGCAGTACTATCTTTAACTCATCAAAATCTATATTTAAACTATTATAATTCATTAAGACTCCAAGACTGTTGCTCTAAAGTAGAAGCACTCTGAAATAAAAAGTTTTCTGAAGTAACAACTGCCTGAAAGAGTTAAAGGTCTTAGAAATGTCAACATTTAAACTGTCTGTACTGTACCTGTGAATGACATCATTTTCATGGAGATAATTCACACCTTCCAAAATCTGTTTGGTGTAGTGCCTAAATACTGACTCCTCCAGTGCACCAAATCTGGCAAGGATGTTGGCTATAGAACCACCAGGGACAAACTGCATGAAGATGCTGACTACAGTGTCCTCCAGACTGGTACCTAAATAACTAAATTATAAAAAAATATGAGTTTAAAACTATTCTATAAATGTATACAGTCTTGCAATTATTACTTCTGTAGACTCAGATCATGTAATGATATACTGATGGTATACTTGGTGTATAACAAAGAGCACTACAATTGTTGTGTTAAATATATTGTATTGTTCAGATTAATTACTCGTCTCTTTATAAGGATAACATATTAAAAATTGTAAATAACTTCATATTTTGTCTAAACATTTTTATATATAAAAATAATCATTTATATATACACACACACATATATAAGTATATATATATATATATATATATATATATATATATATATATATATATATATATATATATATATATATATATATATATATATACACACATATACATACATACATGCATACATGCACTTACACACATACAAACACACACACATACATACTTACATATACACAAAATATAAGTAGATTTATATATATATATATATATATATATATATATATATATATATATATATATATATATATATATATATATATATATATATATATATACATATTTATGTGTGTGTGTGCCTGCATGTGTGCATGCGTGTGTGTGTGTGTGTCTGTATGTATGTATGTATGTATGTATGTATGTATGTATGTATGTATGTATGTATGTATGTATGTATGTATGTATGTATGTATGTATGTATGTATGTATGTATGTATGTATGTATGTGTGTATATATATATATATATATATATATATATATATATATATATATATATATATATATATATATATATATATATACATATATATTTATATATATATATATATATATATATATATATATATATATATATATATATATGTGTATTTATGTAGGTATACGTATATGTAAATGTATGTATATATATATTATATATATATATATATATACACCCCACACACACACACACACACACACACACACACACATAAACACACATTTATTTTTTTAAAAACTGACAAGTGTTTCTCGGTCTAATTCTAAATCATATTCAGATCTTAAAAGTAGTTGTGTATCCTTTACGTTGAAGAACCAACCCCAGCATTGTTTGGCTGTTGTGGTTTTCCTATGCAAATTTACATCCAGTAGTTTACCATTCTTTTCTGGATGATTGGCTTCTCGGTACCACTGTCAAAACCAATGCAAGGCGCAAGGCCACAGCTGGGATCAAACCCGGCACCTTGGCATTATGAAGCACATTTGCAACGCCTAAGCCACAGATGCCGTCAGAATGTAGAGTACAGAAGCCAAATCCTGTTACTACCAGCTAGGCTCACTGTTTAGACATCCAAATGTATCTCTTCTAGCAAAACAGCAAATGATTAATAGCACCTTCATCCCTACTTTATATTATCAATGCGAAACACAGATAATGAATAGGGCACTAGAAGAGAAAATAACTACATGTGAAATGCGCTGTCTCCGCAAGGTCCTTAACAACATAAGAAAGGACAGGATTACGAGAGAAAAGTGGAATAAGACCATGTCCGGATTATACTGACAGACAAAGAATTAAATGATTCAGCCATCTAATGAGAATGCATCCAGACCAAAATGACTATGATACTTTTTTACAGCAGAACATCTGGAAGGAAGGTGAGGGGAAGACCAAGAAAGAGAAGAATAAATGTTGTGGCTGAAACCTGCAAAAAGATGAACAAATCCATCACCCAAGCCACCCAAGAAGTGCAAGACAGAAAACCACGACACTGGGCTGCAGCCTGGTAAAGGTGAGATGACAACAGAAGAAGAAGAAGCAGTTGCAGTTTCATGGCACCCATGTAGAATTTTTTTTATGGAATCAAGTTGGTTGATTGTTTTGTTTTGTTTACATGAACTACTTACTCAAGTTAAGTAGGTGGATAGCAGGTTACTGGCTTGTACAAGATGTGTACCATACTCAGAGAGATTCAGCAAACTAATTTAAACGTATGATTCTGGCGATACTTCAGTCTCTTTTATCTGTTCACAATCTCAAACTTGTGACCTAATCATGATTTGACAGTTTATAAGCATAACCTTTTATGCAACTGTCGTAGCCTGCTGTTACTATGGACTAAAAAAATAAGCTTACCTGTAATCTTTTGCTTTTTTTTTTAGCTGTGCTTCTTGTAGATATCTGTCCAGATTTCCTAGTAATTTTGTTCTTATAAAATGTTACATTCATAAATGATTTCTCAACACACATAAATGAATTCTCAACAGATAACAGTAAAAAATAAGTTCTATGTAACAATCAGAAATGCATTCTCAATACATAATATTCTCAAGAAAGTCTTTAATATATCAAACAAATGTAAATTATTATTAATGATTTATGTGCTTCAGAGATCCGGGTAGTTAGCATCCTTTGGATTTTTTCTCCAGGTCATGCCGGTGTCTTGGGAAATGAGCAGGCAGATAAACTGGCAGGTTCTGCATTACTAAGTGGTGAATTGATGTATGACAAGCTGGATGTTGTGAGGGCCCTCTGGGAGGGAGTGAACAGTGTGGAGGCACAAATAGATCATTACAGTCTGAGGAGCTACCAGGGGATCTGCTCGATGCTCAACACTCAAGAGAAAGAGGAGATGGATATACATTCAGACACTTAAATCAGACAAGGTTAGGCCAAAAGGTGCAGATATCATATCCTAGCTGTAAACTACAACACAACATGCCAAGTGCCCTTGTGAGGACAAACAGAATGGACTTCCTATAACAAAGGCTTCTACAAAAAAGTTTCAACCTCCGTGTCTATTCAACGTTAATGTATCTTACCTCACAATGTTGACATGTTCAAGAGTCTTCAAAAGTTCAACTTCTTCTTGAATTTTTTCATATTCATTTTCAGCCTTTGACTTGTCCATGGTGGTCAGTTCAATCTGTTTGACAGCAATTAGCTGCCCCTCGCTGGTTAAACCACACCAGACCTTTCATACAAAAAGCAACATAAATAATAGGTGTACAAGTGAATGAAACAAGTAACAGCACATACAAAATATGAAATAAAATTTACTGCAAGGCTTAATGCAGTCTTTTTTTGTTGTTGTCCATATTCTGCTTCATGCTGCTAGCATCGTAGGTTATCAGATGATGGTATTCGCGCTAGGGCATGCTCAGTAGCCTGGTATGTTGTGATGGTGTGGAATTTGAGGGTATCAGTGACTCTTTCAATCTATCTTCTTATTGGTCATCTTTACTTCTTGGCATTTGTACCTTCATGTTGTAAACTCTCGATGCTGGCATCACTGAATTCATTCATTGTGGCAAAACCATTTCACTCTTTATTTTTCAATGAATTTAATTATAGGTGTTGTTCTGAAAAATCTTGTAATTTCTTTGTTTCTTCATGATCTTTTCTAATTTTATTCAAGGCCTTTCTCAAACATTTCATTTCACTGGTGTTTAGTTTTCTGTATTCAATGTCCAAGTCTGACATTGACTGCAATAGGTTGGTTTGAAGGCTGCATTTATAATTTGTCTTTTTGTCTCTACTGGGATAGCCGGGTGTTTCAAAATTGGGGTTAGTTTATATGTGACACTGTTGGTTTGTTGGATCTTCTGATTTCAAAACTGCTTCTATAGCACCTGGTAGAGAATATTTAAATCTGCAATCACAACAGAATTATCTGTCTCATTTACTTTCTGCACTTTTTCAACCCAGTCCAACATGTCATTATGAGGGACTCAGAGAGCATGCTTCAGAAAATAGAAACTGCCATCCTATGCATCGCTTGATAAGACATCAGGAGCATATCTTGGATTTTCTCTCCAGATATTCGGGTGTGCAGGGTAATGAGCAGCTGATAGAATGGCTGGTGCCCCACCTCTGGGTGCTGAGCTACATTATGATATAGTAAAAGTGGTGAAGGCTCTCTGGGATCAAGCAGACAGTACAAAAGAACAGAGTATCCATACATTGACAGACTCATTCAGCAGGGCAGGGGTGGCAGGGGTAAGCACAGGGTCTGGAAGATATTCAACACTGAGGGAACAACAGGCCGACTTTTAATCAGGTTGCAACAGATACTATTAGCATATTGACTCCTTGTTGGAGACTGAGGAAGAAGACGGAGCATGTATAGGAATGTCCCCAGTGCAGGGATGTCAAGTCGTAATATATTCATTCATTTAACCCAGGGAGCTCTGGCAGTGCAGAGGTGTTTCAATCTCCTCTAAAGCAAAGGTTCAATGCCAACCGTAAATGCGTTGCTTGTTCCTAAGGGCCTTTATCACATCTGCCTTGTCATGTATCAATTCACCACAAAGTGGTGCAGATCCAGCCAGTCTGTCTGCCTGTTCATTACTCACCACGCCGGCATGGCCTAAAGAAAAGATCCAAAGTATGCTCACTACCTGTGACCTTTCCAGTGAAGCTTGCCACTCTGCTCGAAGCCTTTGTTTAGAATGCCAATTTTTTTCCCTCTTCTTAATCCATGGTATTCTAAAAAGCTCTAATCTTTTTCCTCAGTGACTGAGTAAGAGTCCAGGACTCACAATCGTAAGTTGCCACAGGAAAAATGCATGATCTCAAGATTTTTACATTAACCAATTTGCTAGTGCTTTGCAATAGTTTCTTTATTCTGTTTAATCTCTGCATTGTTAATGCAAGTCTTCTTCTGATTTCTTTCAAGCAGTCGCCACTGTTGTTCACTTAAGAGCTCAAGTATTCAAAATCTTTTACATTTTCTATTTCTTCATTTTCGATTGCGATACGTGGTTGGTGTGCAGTATTTACTAAGGACACAATTTTTTTTTTTTAATTCATAAAACAATTCACTTTTTCACTGTACTTTTTGACAGCCAGAAATATTTTTTCGAAACCTTGTACACTATTGGAAAAGAAAACTGTGTTGTCTGCATAAAGGTAGGTAGGTACGTGGGTAGTTATACCCCACCAGGGCATCACACAAGCGATAAACACCTGGCGACACAAAGTGCCACCATGCAGATGAGGATCACCTGTGGAGAGGTCCCAGAAGCCCCTTTCAGCCGTAAGGCCATATCAATGGCTAGGTCATATCTATGCCCCCGCTATATTCAGGGCCCCCGGCAGAGTGGGGCTTAAATAACAAATAATTACATCCAACATGAAGACAACTTTTCAAGAATCTGCACCTGCTTAAAGTATATTTGAAATATTTTAAATTTAACAATCAACACTACTACAATCACTTACAACTAATACAAAATCTATGCAATTTTCAATAACCAAAATTAACTGACAAGCATAAATATCCAATATCGAAACAGAACACAAAATGCTACACATCACAATTGTAACTCAGATAGGTTGAACAGGATAACTGTCTTCATCACTACCATCACTACTACTACTACTACTACTGATCTCCCTTCACAAAAAAGATGAAATCAATATCATCTGCATTGCCAGGTGATTTGTGCCTCTGTGTGTCACACATGATATTCTATAAAATGGCAACCCTAGATATTGACTTATTTTCATATACACTTTTCTTTTTCGCGTTCACCGGCTGTAAACTTTACTTACAGAAAAGCTTGTATTATTTCTTGCATAAGGTTGAAACCTTTCAGTGCATGACGAAAACAATGATAAAGTTTAACAAAGTAACTGCCTTACTGTGCCAAAGGCTCCTCGTCCTAATACGTTGCCTTTCTTCCACTGAATAGTATCATCCCCGTCACACTTGACGTCACTGACTGAAGACTTCTCACTTCTAACAGTGCTTGCCTGATTCACATCTAGTGACTGCTGATCTTGTTTCTAAAACATGGCATTAAAAAATAATATAATATGTATGAATCACAAACATGGAGAAATATTACAACAATTACTAATAAGCTACAAAACATCTATCAACTGGTGTCTGGTATTATACAATCACTCTTGTGGAGTTTTGGATGAGAAAAGAAACAATCTCAAGTGACTCAAAAGGTGAGGCTTGCAATTGATAGGACAAACTTTGAGAAAACGAAACAATAACTCAACTATCATGGTCTTGCACCATAACCCACAGGCCACAAGAAATAAAAGGAGATTTTTAAAAAATGTATGGAATAAACTTAGAGACAGAGGTAGAAAAGTCTGGAAGGACAAAGAAATGAGCTGAGAAAGATGGAAAAAAGATAGGACAACTTGGCTCCATCTCCCCCTCCCCCCAGAAATAGTAAATATATAATCATAATAAGGGTTCTTACACTGATATCATCTGTGACCTGTAAGGAGATTCTTATTTCAGCATCATCCTTGACCTCCTGAAACCTGCCCTTGGATCTAAATGAGGCACTTGCTAATACAGATGGTGACCTGCTATGGTCATTACTTTCGAATCTGTTTCGAACATTTCTGGAAAGGCATTTTGCTGAACCACCTGATCTTTCTATGAAGTTAGCGCTGGCTTGAAGTCCCATGTTTTTAAAATTGGAAAGAATCTTGAACAACTGTTTAGCTCCCTCATCTGTGATTCTTGTACCACTCTTCTGAAAATAAGAATTTAAGGATGCAGAATATAGTTACATCTATTATACCTAAAAAAAACTAAACATTAAGAAAGAGAATAAAAGCAAGCAAATGCTTACAAAGCATGCAATAACAATGGATTTTAATCAATATTTTGCTTAAAATAACAAGAAAGTTAATAACGTCAATGAAATATAAATACAGACATTTCTAACTTTTTGATGATCTACCTTTCAATGATAAAATTGTCAGTCCTATACACTTATAGCTTTATATCAACAAATGATGTGCTTTCAAATGGTATCATCAAGCTTACATTATCTTTATTAACTTATAAAGAAAAGCAGACAGTCTGAGAATTTGTTAGAATGCAGCAACACCATTATCAACACAGTTTGTTGAATTAACAATCAACATCACATCACTCAGGATATTCCAATAAGTGCTCTGTCCCCATCTTTGGTAGCAAGCATAGTTCCAATTACTAAGGCGCCTGTAAGAGTCTGAATGTGTATCAATCTCACCTTTTCCTTGGTTGTTCAGCATCGGCCAGATCTCCTGATCACTATTCACAGCACTATTCTCCTCAGACTGTGATAATCTATTTGTGCCTCCACACTGTTCACTGGTTTCTAAAGGAACCTTACAATGTCTAGTTTGACACGACAGTTCACCAATAAGTGGTGCAGAACAAGCTAGTCTGTCTGCCTGTTTGTTTCCCAAAACACCGGCACAACTTGGAGAAAATATCCATAGGACACACTACTCATGATGTCTGAAGTGATGCTTGCCGCTCTGCGTGGGGCATACCTGCCTCCCCTTTCTCAATACTGTTCGCAAGTCAATTACAATTATGAAATGTGGGTGCAGCTGTTTCTCAAGCCAGCAGAAGGCTGCAGTGACTGTCATCACCTCTATTCTCAAACTAGATTGTGTGGTATCAAATTCTAGGCTTTGTTGTTTTAAGCCAAAGAAGATTCTGGACTGATGACATTAGGGACCTTTTACATTCACATAAAATGACTTTAGCTAGTGCCAGCCACTTAACATTGGACCATCAACTATTTCTCTTACACAGTGTTTGATAGAAAATGTGGAAAATGATAATGATGATGATAGAATAAGATAAAATCAGGAATGAGGTCATAAGAGAAAAAAGCATACAATCATTCCTAAATTTCATACAAAGTCAGCAAATCAGATGATTTGCCAAAGTAGAATGTCTTGTGATGCCATCTATACCATGCTAGACATATACCAAAAGAGGAGAAAGGCAGAGAGCACAAGGCAGATCAAGAACAACATGGAAAGATCACATCAGAAAAACTCTACAACAGAATGACATGTCTACTCTACGGTTGAGGCGGCCAGATTAGCAAGAAGCGGAGCCTTATGTCTCCTCAGACACCCAAAGTGGTAAAAGAGGAAGTGAAGGAGAAGAAGAAGAGAATAATGAAAACATGTAAAAAGAAAAACATGTTTTTGAACTAGCTGATGGCCATAACGTGCTACTGAGCTGTTTTTCTGTTTAAAAAAAAAAGACAATGTTTCATATTCAAAAATTTTTTTTGGGGGGGGAAAAGGGGGGGGGGGGGGGGGGGAATGTATGAATTTTCCAATAAATGAATGAACAAATGAGCTTTTGAATGAACAAACAAATGAATTAATGAACAAATAAATACATTAACAAGTGATTTAATTTAGTTTTCTATGATTAAAATGTGCTGGCATAATTTTAGGAAAAGAACAAGAATTGGATTTCCCATTCCAGCCATTTCTCATTTTTAAATGACTAAGTTAATGTATTGATGAATAAATTAATTAAACAATGTATTAATTAATAAACAAATGAACGAATAAACAAACTGATTAGTGAGTGCATGAACTGATGAATAAATGAAGAAAGAGTGAATGAGTCGATAATGAATGGACAATACTGCATTCTGTACATTCTTATATGTTCGCCACCAATGAAGAGTTTCCTGGTTGGTCCCTAGTCTAATGAACAAACAACTGACAACCTGTATAAACTAACAACACATTCAATACATTTCAGCTCACACAAACACAACAAAGCACATTCTTCTTGCCAGTGATTTCAAAAATGAACTTACAGAATTCTGATAGTGCCTCCCATGTTCCCTGGAGGATGACGACCTTCCAAGAATAACTGACTTTGAAGTCCCCGCCTCCTTCAAAGAAGATTTTATCAGTGGTGGTGGCTTGTTTGAGACAGATGGTGCACCAGAATCATGGCCCTGCTGCCTTTCAGCTAAAGGTGGAGGGCTGGGACTTTGACTGCGTATACTTGATTCTTCTGAATCTCCTGCATCTGAAGAGCTTACTTTACTCACTGGTGCCTCAGATAAATTATTAAGTGCCCCTGTTGAACGTAGCTTAGAAGACAAAGATGCTGTGGCATGAAAAGGTGATGCATACACAGACTGGGACATTCTTATTAGTAAGTGTTTGTCACTTTCAGTCAATGAATGAGTCCCTGATTTATAAGAAACTGTCTCACGAATTTTACAGTTTCTTATGGTAGAGGTCAAAGATGAAGTGGTTGTTGAAAGAATCTCTTCAATAATTTCATCTACATCTTCATTTCTGTCACAGCTGCTTTCTGCATTGTTCTGCTGTTTATAAGATTCAGAAACTGTTATATTATCAGATCTTTCTTTGCCAGTGTTGTGATATTCTTTCAAGCTTTGACTTCTGCCTACTTTACCTGAGGGTCTGTATTCATACTTTATATTTGTCTTGCTTTTGTTGTTTTCATCAACCACAGTGCTATCATGTTGATGCTCAGAATCAGCAGGTTCTTCTGAGATATTATAAGGAAGATAAGTATCCTCAAATCTCTTGCTTTCTTCAGCTGACTGGGGAGTGGCAGCAGAATGTGAGGTTATTTCCTGACAATTTATTTCAACATCTGAGATGTTTGTAGGTTTTGGCAAGTATATTTCAGGAGTAGGACTGAGCATGTTGAACATCTCTTCCTCAACATCATTAGATACAGGAGAACCTTCAGATGGTGAGATGGCCAAGACACGGACTTTGCTACTGCCAATAAAATTGTGTTCACTAGTTTTACTGCATTGTTCAGAGCTCCCGCAAATATCTACAGTCATTTTTTGCTTCATTGGTGGCACTTCTTCACCTTCAGATGGTTTAATATTTAAAGAAGGCTTTAGCTGATTTGCCACTTCTATTCTTTTAGGAGAACTGTTTAAAACTTGATCACTAAAGGCATGAAACGGCTCTTTGTTTAACATCTCTTCTTCAATGTGATCGCTTTCATAAGCAGAATTTTCATTTTCATCAAGGTCTAATGAGAAGTCTGAGTCACTAGAATACAAATGAAGATCACTGGACACCTCAACTGTTGATGTCCCTGCACGAGAAGTGGACAACTGCCAGCCAATACCTGACACAAGAGTGGTGTTAGGTTTAGCAGATTCTGGGGTTGTCTCATTCTCAATGGTTCTCTCAATTTTCTTGCATCTTTGTCCTTTTACAGACTTTCTACCACTCTTTGGTCTTAATTCCTTTTCTATTTTTAGATCTTTTGTCTTTGGACATTGCTTCTTACCTGCAGAGGTTTGCCTTAAAATGCTTATAGGCTGTCTCTTTTTAGATGACGCCACGGCTTTCTTTATATTTTTATTTGCAATCTTGCTACAACTGGGCTTCTTCCCTTTGACTGTTACATCTTTTGTTGAAGTTTCAAAATCTCTAACATGAGGCTGTAAAAATTCTTCAAATGGATTCACTATAAATGGAGTGCAGATTACAGCATCTGTCTTCTCTACTGCAGCATGCATAGTCATTTTGGCATTTCCCTGAAATCTGGCTGAAATTAATGGATCTATAGAGGTAGACTGTAGTTGACTATTTGGTCTAGAAGCCAAAGAATAGATGTGGTTATTGAATGGCAGCAAATGTGAGTCGGAAGTATTAGGAGTAAAATTTGGCATTGGTTGGACTGTTGTAAAATAATGGTTTTTATTATTATAACCATATTTTGGCAAAGAATCTTGATCTGTAGAAACTTGTGACTTTTCATTATCAACTTCTTGTAGAAAAGAAATTGATTTAGAAATTGTATTCTTGGCAGAGCCTGAAAGAACACTTTGTTCTAACGGTTCAATTGATGCCAATGTGAGACCATTACTACCTGATTTTGCAACTAATGCAGTGGGTTCCATGTCACCCCGAGAGTGGGATGAGGGACATTTAGCAGCAGTTGTAATATTTTTCTCACTTTGTACATTTTTCTGCATATTAAACTGTACAAACTTATCAGATTTTCTCTTACACTCTTCTCCAACAGTTTCTGTTACAAGACATTGTTTTGTCTCCTTTTCAACACAGTTTTGTTCCTTAATACTTAACTGTTGCAACAAAATGTTTGTTTTACATCTCTGCTTGTTTACACCTTTGGGTTTATTTGGTTCTTCAGTATTAAATATTTGCTCCATTCCACACGACAGCTTTCTTGCTGGCTCATCAATTATTACAGATGTAGTTAAATTAGTTGGTCTAGAAACTTGAGGGTTTAATGGGGATGAAGAGTGAGTACTTAAACCATCAGTCACAGAACTGGTCTTTATGGTTGAATGTTCCCTACTGAGGGTAGCTACAAGTTTATTCTTTGCTCCACAATTTGTCTTCACCTGTGGCTTGATTGCATCTGCTACTAATGAATCTTTGACGTTTCTGCTCACTGACTTTAGCTGAGCATCAGTAACAGATTTATGTTCTGGTCTTTGGTCAGAGCCATCTCTCTTCTTCACAGAAGCATCTAATAATAAACTTTTACTGCTGTCTACTCTAGTTTTGGTTAATGCCCTTGTTTTTCCAATAACAGGCTTAATGACAAGTTTTTTGGATGCTTTTATATATTTAGCAGGATTCTCAATGGCTGCAGACTGAGCTGCATTTTTATTTGAGGTAGAATGACATGGACCAGCACTGACAATTCGCAAATGCTCATTCGGAACTGAATCCAGGTTTCCCTCAGAATTTGATTTTTCAGTACCAGCTGCAGATACCAACTGGTGAAAGGAACTCTCAGAATGAACCCTTGGTGATATGCTTTCCATGCTCTGGCTTTTAAACACAGCAAATGGACTAGGTAAAGTGGTTGGTTCCTGATTAATTCTGCCCGGTCTTCCATCTGACTTTTTCAGACTGTTAGATCTAGAAACTGCTTTATCTGTCCGAAGCTCATCAATGTCTGACTCAAGAGAAGATGATAAGGAATTGTCGGATCGTCTTCTCAGCCTTTTATGTGGCTTCATAATCAGTGGCTTTCCATCAGCGTTCGCTAGAGTCTCAGATACCAGGAAACTAGTGCTAATATGCTGTTCCTGAAGTGTTGACAGGGTAAGATCATGTCTTAAAGATCTTGTGGGAGAAGGCTGTGGGAAAGACAGATCTCGGGGAGATGATGAAGACAGGCTGCCACTGCTCGTGCTGGAAGCTGGATCACTCCCGGAGAAGATCTCTTTAGGACGACTTTCTTCTAAAATGAATTCATCTTTCAAAATTGAGTGACTTCTCATCATCTCAGAAGGAGAGCCTATATCTTCCCTTTGGTGTGAGGAGCACTGAAAATTAAAAATTGTTTTGAAAATGTTAAACTGTTACAAACACAGCAAAACAAATTATCAGATGTAATACATCAGTGATCTTAGTTTGTATTGTCATCATGGCTGTAGGTTCCTGGCACCCCAAATTTGGTTGGGAGGAGGAAGGGGGAGGGGTGATGCCCCTTTGTATGAGAAAAAAAAAAATGACGTCGTCTCCTCACAAGCATTCAGTAAAATGTGACTAATGAGAGGCTTGCTGAAACTGGCTGTGTTGGGCTGAAAGGCACAAATATTGCAGCCTTATTATCAACAGCAAAACAATGTAAGAACCAGCCGGCAGAATAAGAAACTTATTATTGTCTACCTAATGAGAACATTTATAGAAAAAATTAAATGCATGTATTTGGAAACACTTTGAAACTGAAATAAAGCAATTATAACTATATGAATGGCAAGAATTCTTAAGTTTAACAGCACATCACCGATAATAAAAATAAATACAAATAAAAGAAAACACAGCCACAGTTCACAACTGGGAGGAACTGCTAAAAACATAAAAGATAGTTAAAAAACGTTACAATTATAATTAAAACTGTGAACGTAATTTTTTACCACTATCTATATGCCATTACATACTTTTTCTTGGACAGCCTCTTTATGTATATCAGCAAGAGTCGTTTGCAAGTCTTTACTCAGGATTAGCTCAGATGGCTTGGATCTGATGACTTTTTTACCTGAGAAAATTGACAAATTAATGTAATCTTTTTAAATTTCTTGTTTAGTGAACACCGTTAAAGCAAAACTGTAGTAAGTATTTCTATATTCAGCAGAGGAAAAATTTTTTTCTGCCACATATAAAAGACACTAAAGATTAACTCAGCAGAAATATATTTTATAAAAAGTATCTAAAACTAGGTTATTATTACAGCATTTGTACCATCGCTGGAATCATTTTTTGAAGTTTTACGGATCAAAGACCATCCAACCCAGATTAGTCACTTTACTGAAACAATTTAAGAGTTTCAGCCACAGAAAGATGTATTTTGCGACCTGTACAAGTGCTTTGAACATTAGTGTCCCTTGTCAGTCAAAGACAAAAATTGCAAACTTCACTGTCTGAAAATGATGCTCCCAATAAATTTGACAATTGTGGGCATAAATGTACATTTAAAGACTTGTAAAAATAAAATGGTTAAGCAACCTGCCCTGAATATGTTAATGGTGTTCTGAAGGTTAAAAGTGAATATGGAGCAGAATTTGGATCAGTATGTACAGGACACACAATTGATGTAGACTTTGTGGTTTGGTCAAATTAGAACTTCACAATCAACACAGACAGTGTTGCTCAGGACTGAAAGAGTTATGCCCCATGCCAGCTTTCTCAACTATTAATATTAAAAATTAGGCTTATCATAATTTAGCTTTCAAACTGTTTCAATAGCAGGCAGGCAAGTTTGTTTTTCAACCAAAAATAACAATACAATGTGACAATTAAATGAAACAATTTCACTTACATATTCCAATTTCCAAAATAGAGCTCTCTTCTGTATTAAGTTTATTTCTGGAGTCTTCTAATGACTTATGTAACCCATTGGATCTTCTTGAAAGAGAAAGTCTTGAATCTGTTTCATCTTGTGAAACTTTACTGTGATTTTCTGGGCTTTTGCTCCGCCCAATCTGTGGTAAGATCTTGGTTCTTGTTGTACCCAGCATTCGGGTAGTCTCTCTGATTCAAATATTTTGTACACACACAGTTATTCAGTGTCAAAATCAGAAAAAGTCTCAAGACAAAGCTCACTTATTCAATAAATAAAACATTCATCCCCATGTGGGATGGAATTTTTCTTTATTTTGAAGTCCCCACCCCAGCTGTGGTCAGGGGCTTTATATAACCCAACCTATGGGTTAAACGGGGTTTCTGGAAGCTGTCCCCGGGTGATTCTCATCTGAATGGTGGCACTTTGTGTCACCGGGTGTTTATCGCTCGTTGTAATGTCCTGTTGGGGTAAAACATCAATCAATCAATCACTTATTAAAATTATTTTTGTCCTATTTTAAATACCTTGCAGCACATTGACATCATTGTAAACTTATCGGTCCAATAAGTGTCCAACAAATCAGGTTCCTAGGATAATAAAACAGCAGGCTGTGGACAATTTTGATGTCAGACTAGCAGTTGTTGCACAAACAATTTATATTTATGGGACTAGCAGCTGTTGCACAAACAATTTATATTTTTGGGACTAGCAGCTGTTGCACAAACCATTTATATTTATGGGACTAGCAGCTGTTGCACAAACAATTTATATTTATGGGACTAGCAGCTGTTGCACAATTTATATTTTTGGGACTAGCAGCTGTTGCACAATTTTTATTTATGGGACTAGCAGCTTTTGCACAAACCATTTATATTTTTGGGACTAGCAACTCTTTCTTGCACAATTTTTATTTTTGGGACTAGCAACTCTCTCTTGCACAATTTTTATTTTTGGGACTAGCAACTCTCTCTTGCACAATTTTTATTTTTGAGACTAGCAACTCTTGCACAATTTATATTTTTGGGACTAGCAACTCTTGCACAATTTATATTTTTGGGACTAGCAACTCTTGCACAATTTATATTTTTGGGACTAGCAACTCTTGCACAAACAATTAATTTTTTTGAGATTAGCAGCTGTAAATGCAGCTGGCATGCCATTGAAAAAAAAAAATTCATCAAGTACTGAACGGACTTTAAAAATATGCCTATGTGCCACTGGAACGAAAAGGGTCATTTACTTGTAAATAACTAACAAATATAAAGGTCTTAGGTTCAAAACCTCATCCTGACATGTTTTTATGATTGATCTTGACTTTCAGGTCACCCAGTCTCGTATGGTTACCAGGACAATGTCTTGAGAAGTAAAACTGGCTGACATTATTGTGACGATATCAACCATTAGGTGTTGATTGGTCTATACAAATATGTAGTCTAGCATAATGTGCCCAGTGGGCAATTCACATGCAAAATGTCAGTCACTTTTGTTCTGAGAAACTGCATCACCTTTGTAAAATCAAAGAATGTATGCATATGTATATATTTATATATGTGTGTGTGTGTGTATATATATATATATATATATATATATATATATATATATATATATATATATAAGCTTCAATTTTAAAAGTAGTGCTACGTTTTAAAAACTCGACCTATTACCTTTGCAATACCAGAGGAGGCGCCTTTATTACTTCAACCTTTTGTAGGATTTTTCTTTCCATCTGTTTACATCTGTCTATATTAGAAAGTAATTTAGAATCTGTGGATATAATAATCAGGACACAATTTAATGTCATTCGTACATATTATATCGCTACAAGGAATAATTGTATTTTTTAAAATATCCAGAAACCATGAGTTGTTAACCCTTTGGCTCGGTATTATGGATATCGCAACCCTGGGCCATGATTCAGTGATAGATACCGTAAATCTTGAGAGAAATGTTGCTTTTCTGCCTACCCCCAGGCATGAACCCGGACCACAAGGAGTTTGTCACCCGGTCGCCATGAAGTCAAGTTTAACAAACTACACTAGCGAGCAAAATATAATTTTATTAAACTACATATCAGGGCTGCTAGCCCACCTCTTGCAGTATTAAACAGTCCAATTCAGAATCAACACCCCCACCCCTCCCCCCCCCCCACAAAAAGAAATTACCATATATGAAGCATATTCACCCTCCCCCCTCTCACTCTGTATCACTAGTGTCAGATATAGTCACAAAAAATTAGGAAAGACAATTAGTAATCATAGAAATTAGATGTCTTAGAAAGGCTGCAAGAGTGACCAGATGAGATCAAATCAGCAACAACAAAAGTCAGCACAAATAAATACTAAGTTACATACAAAGACAGTAAATAAAATATTCTGCCCACTTAAATAGAATGTCTCCCCATGTTGGTTACATGGCTACATTTTGGGAAAAACAAGAACAGACCCACTGCCTCCCAGCAAGCAGGTCATAGGAGTAGACGCTAGGTGACTTTCTTCCTTCCGGCCAGCTGCCCACAAATGGGCCAGTAAAATGGATGTACACGCAAAACTCAGACACTTGCACAAAGTCCAAATGGATGAACAACCATGACTTCCTGCCAGAGCATATAGCCTTCTAATAAGTCTGAGAATATAAGCCACTGTCTCTCTCTCCATCTTTCTATCTCTCTCTCTCTCTCTCACTCATGTGTGTGTGTGTGTTGTGTGTGTGGGGGTGTGAGGGAGGTTTGTGGGTGTAGGGGGTGTGTGTGGTGTTTTTGGGGGTGTGTGTGAGGGGTGTGGGGGTGTGAGGGAGGTTTATGGGTGTAGGGGGTGTGTATGTATGGTGTTTGTGGGGGGATGTGTGTGGGGGGTTTGTGGGTGTGTGTGTGGGGTGTGTGTGTGGGGTGTGTGTTTGGTGGGATGTGTGGGGGGAGTGTGTGGGGTGTGTGTGGGGGACGTGTATAGGGTGTGTGTGGAGGTGTGTGTGGGTGGTGTGTGTGTGGTGTGTGTGTGGGTGGTGTGGGTGTGTGTGGGTGTGGGTGGTGTGTGTGTGATGTGTGTGTGGTGTGTGTGGTGTATGTGGTGTGTGTGTGTGTGTGTGTGCCCCTGTGTGTCTGTGTGTGCACTTTTGCGTGTGCATGTGTTGTCTGTGCATGTGTGTGCATGTGCACTTGTGTGTGTGTGTCTGTGTGTGAGTCTATATGTGTATTAACATGTGCATCTTCATGAGAATGTAAATATGTGTGCGCACGACTGCACCTATATGCATGTACATATGCACATCTGGTGTTTATATTCATGACAAAATGTGCATGCACACATGTATGCATCTTCTTATGCACATGCATAAATCTGTTTGTATGTCAGCACCTACACGTAGGCATGTCTACATAAATATGCTCATTTGCATTCATGTGCATATGTATATCTGCATGTTTATTAATCTGCATTATGTGCATTAGCACATCTTCTGCAGTTGTAAGTGTTTATGTGAACATTGGTATGTCCTTCTGTGCAACTTTACACACATGCCCCTGCTGATTTTAATCTACTCATTGGCACACAAGTGCATCCACACCTGAGCAAGTGCATATGCATGTTCGCCTAAGAGTGCATCTGCATGTGTGTTTGTAACTACATGCAGGTGAAAGCCAAATGTTTCCTGTTTACCTTGAGAAAAGACAAGAATTTCTCCTTTTCTAGAGAAGATCTTTAACTGAAATATGGTTTACACAACAGATCAACATTATAGCATAAGGGTAGTAACCCATAAATGCTCTGTTCTACTTCTAACTCAAGCCTGAGTCCAAAGAATCTCAGCGTAGTGCACAAACTCTGTTGCACCGGCGAGGATCCTGAAATACTTTGGGTAGATTTTTAACTCAAACTTTTCCCAGGCAGCGCTGTTAGGCTACTCTTTTCGATATCCAACTGCCAAGGGATTTTTTTAATGTGCACAAGAAGACACACGGGCATCCGATGTTACTATAACTGAAGTATTCTAGTCTTAATGTGTGCCTTCAAATTCAAATAAGATAGTTCATCAATCAATCAATTAAGTGTCACCTCTACAATGCAGATTGAAATGGATCGTCAAGACTTTCTTTGCCCTGACTGTACACTTTCTCAGCCTTCAGTTAATTAATCTGCCGATGTTATCTCCCTCTTCTTTAAGCCTGTCCACCTCTTGCTCAATGGCTTTCAACATTTCAACTTTCCCTCCACTATGGTTTTTAAAAGAGATTAGTCTTTTAATTTTGTCAAAATATTGTTCTCTTTAATTTAAAACAAAATGCATTCACTATCCGTTTTTTTCATGTCCATCCTCTCCATAAACAACTTTTGTATTTGTTTTTTGTTTCTATAAATTACACCTATTCTTCTGTATATCCATATCTCGAGACCTTTAACTTTGACTATGCATTAAGATATCTCAGGTATCTACAAAAAAAAAAGGACAATTTCAGCAAACTGAAATACTTTCATTTTCATCAGCTATATTTGTGTACTTGTGTCTGGGTTTAGATGTAGCCCTATATATTCTTAGCGCCAAAAAAACATGAAAATAGTCTTTTATTAACCTTTAAAAAGCATCTGAATTTACTTTTTCATTCTGAGCATTTCAAACTTCTTTCCCCCATGTCAACTGAGTGGCATTGTTTCTATCATATCAAAAACGGCATAACTTTACAAGACTGCAAAAAACAGCATCTTACTGGTATTTTGGGACTGTGCCTCAACTTTCAGGATGGTGTCAGGAACATTCTGGAAACATCAAAATAAATTTAGAAATTAAAAACTGGACCAGACAAACACATGTACATACCCAACTCAAATTGTCCTTTAAATACAAGAAACATTACAAATTTATCTTCACTCCAGTTATATTAAAACATCTACTGGCTATATTTATCCTCTCAGCACTTTCATTCAAGGTCACTACTGCAAAAGTGCGAACATGTTATGTCACCACTACTACTGGAACATTATCAGGAAAAAGGTTCAGCAATCAAACAAACTTAAATCCCTCTGTGCACTGTGGGGTCCCATTTTAGGGGAAACAAGAGTAGACACCACCCCCCCCCCCCTTTTTCCCAACAGTCACATCATAAAAAATGACTAATTAGGAGTGTTTTCTTTAAAGTCGGACATCATCTGCCTGAGAGACAAGGAACCAACAGTCTGCATACAAATAAGCCAAATCTGTTAAATGGTTGTACAGGCAAAGCTCAAGTTATGGAATAAGACCAATGGCCAGAAGTGGACAAACAATCAGATTTATCTGCCAGAGTTTACAACATGTGAATGCTAATTATAATAATAATAAAAAGAAGAAACAATTAAATTACAGCAAGAGCTTACAGGAGAACTGAAGCCTAAACCTGGATGAAATGTAGAGGCGTGCTCTTGCATGAAAATGCATGTTCTTTCACGTCTGCAAAGAATGTGGACACTCCTAAAATTTTGGCTTGAGGTGTTAAAGCATCATCTCAATAGTCTTGATCTTGCTCTATGTGACTTTCAACTCTATGGTTCCAAGAAAGAAGTGGCTTGCAGTTCGGTCTAAAACATTTGAACAAGACCATAGGAAAGAGTACATACAAACTGACAAACTGTACTGAAATGGGAGAAGACTATGTCAAAATATTACGTATTTGTATTTTGAACAGATTAAAATACAAGTATAGCAATAATGTAGATAAAAAATTTCGGGCTAAAAACCACACACCCAATATATATCAGAATGTAGAAATTAGTCCTTTAAATTTTTACCTCATGTGAATATTCTTACTTCAATATCTATCTGTACTTTTAAGCAACATTTATCATATTAATTATCAACATCATCATCATTATCCTGTTGGGCCATCTACAGGCTACATAAGGCTCAAGGTCTAATCCTTCATAGTGTTTTATACCGCACATTTAAAAAAAAATATCATGGATGGAATCCAGTTCAATACCTTTGATTTCTTTCATCAATGTTTACCTACAGATCTCTCATCAATGTTTACCTAAAGATTGCTCATCAATGTTTACCTAAAGATCTCTCATCAATGTTTACCTAAAGATCTCTCATCAATGTTTACCTAAAGATCTCTCATCAATGTTTACCTAAAGATCGCTCATCAATGTTTACCTAAAGATCTCTCATCAATGTTTACCTAAAGATCTCTCATCAATGTTTACCTAAAGATCGCTCATCGATGTTTACCTAAAGATCTCTCATTAATGTTTACCTAAAGATCTCTCATCAATGTTTACCTAAAGATCTCTCATCAATGTTTACCTAAAGATCGCTCATCAATGTTTACCTAAAGATCGCTCATCAATGTTTACCTAAAGATCTCTCATCAATGTTTACCTAAAGATCGCTCATCAATGTTTACCTAAAGATCTCTCATCAATGTTTACCTAAAGATCGCTCATCAATGTTTACCTAAAGATCTCTCATCAATGTTTACCTAAAGATCGCTCATCAATGTTTACCTAAAGATCTCTCATCAATGTTTACCTAAAGATATCTCATCAATGTTTACCTAAAGATCTCTTATCAATGTTTACCTAAATATCTCTCTTCGATGTCCTTGTTTCTCAATCCATTTGTTTCAAATTTCAAGACTGTTTGGTGATTCTCTATCCATGTCTCTCCCCAGGAAGTGCCCAATATATCATCACTTTCTTAGTTTTACAACTGTTGATACCAGCCATTGTTGAGATACTCACCTTTCTTCAATTCATCAAATTTAATGTTAATACATTTTCTGGAACTAAATTACTCGGTTAAGGTAAGTTTAATACACATTCATTTTCAAACAACATCTACATGTATATGCTCTCTTATGACAGATTTTACACTCTCATAATTACAAACTAAATTCTCCGTGTGGGTTCCGGGGCCCTATTATAGGGAAGACAAGAATAGACACCCTGCCTACCCAAAAGCATGTTGTAAGAGTCGACTAATTGGGAGCCTTCTTCAAAGTTGGAGTGCATCTGCCTGAGAGGCAAGGAACCAACAGTCTGCACATGAATGAGTCAGATCTGTCAAACAGGTGCACACATAACACTCAGGTTCTGAAATAGGACTGCAGTCTAGAAGTGGACAAACAACTAGAACCTTCTGCCGGAGTTTACAGCCAGTGAACCCAAAGAAGAAGAAGAAGAAGAATAACAACAACAACAAACTAAATGACTCCTTAGTCTTGGAAACACAAAATAATTTTGATTTCTTCCAACAAATTCTTCTGCTGACATCATTACCTCTGCTATCACAGGCTTAGTGTTTATATTGACAGCATCATCAGTTGAGGGAGCACTGCCTTTCTTTGCTGCCATCAAGGCCTCCTTGAGTGTATGTTTCATCTTCCTGGTTTTGGCAACATCAAATGGTGTCAAACCATGGTCATCTGTGATAGTGACATCTGCACCATACTTGAGCAGAGTCAAGGCCGTTGTGTGGTGATCGTTAAAAGCCTAGTAACAAAGAAAGATAATGGACAATTTTGTGGCTAAAATGTGTGAACTGTGAGTGACATAATTTAAACTGATGTTCACTAAACTTTATGTGTATAAATTCTCTGAATTCAATAAAAAACATACAGTCTTAAAATTATATACAAATTCCTATTCATTAACTTGGCCAGGGATAACAATGACTATATGATACAAACTTATCATGCAGATATTTCAACTTTTTCAGTTACCAAGGAACACAGAAATAAAGAAAATATGATGTTCATGCTCTCATCTACCACACATGGTTTTTATATTAACTCTTTGTCTCTGAAATACTAGTTTAACTATTTCTGTCCCACAGTGCTTATATTGAACTACTTCAACCCTAAATATTAATTGCTTTTAAGCTCAACTCCTTCAAACAAATAATAACTCCTTAGGATCAAATGAGTTAATCAAGTTGCAAATTACACCATCAGTATGGGAAATCATCACTGGCTACTAAGGAAGGGGAAAGCCCATGTGGAAATGCCTTGACTACAGTGATGACAATTCTTGACTGAATCATTCATTCCCAGGGGGGCTGCGTGGTCTTGAGTCATTGTGTACGCCTCGGGTTCAATCCCCTTTAAAAGCTGAGATTTTTTCACGTGGATTTGGACTTCTAGTAATACCCCTGGTTTTGGGTAGTGATATCGGATGCCCGGGTGCACTGTTACGCATGTAAAAAATCCCTTAGAAGTTGGAAATAGAAAAGAGCAGCTTAACAACGCTGCCTGGGCAAAATTTGGAGTTTAAAATCTACCCAAAGTTTTTCAGGATCCTCGCTGGTGTTACAGAGTCTGAGCACTGTGCTGAGCTTCTTTGGACTCAGACTTGAGCTAAGAGGAGAAGAACGGAGCACTTATGGGTTACTACCCGTGTGCCATGATGTTGATCTGTTGTTCAAACTTTAAACTTAATTAATTCTCATTAATTTATTTACTACTGAGTTTTTACATTCAATTAGAAATTGAGTTTAATTTTACATACAGAAGAGCTGTAGTGGCACACACTGGTTAGTTTTCCTGCATTTAAAAGCAGTGACCCATGTCTAATGCTTTGCAGAGCCAGTTTTACACAAACAGTCCAGTTGTAGAGTTGAAGCCTCGTGAAACTGGTATTGGATAGTTTTCTGAAGATCATTATCATCAATTTTACTTTTGCTGTTAAGTACCATGGGGAGGAAAAGTGTCCGATCCATTGCTTGATATGTAGCAATGGCTATTGTCATTCTGAGTTGATATAGAAGGTCATCAATCCATTTACTCATTCAGCCACCTCTTACTTTCAAATTAGATGTGAAAACTCTTTGTTAAGTTTTGGACTACTTGCTTTGGCTCATGAAAGCTGGTGTTTTACAGATCCCTGGAGGTCTTTGCAGAAGCTACAGAGTCCATACTTTGTGGTTTCATGGGTGTCCAACAACCCTGTGGAGATAGCTATATTTTTCTTCAGTGATCTATGGGTGTGTGCTTATTCCACTGTAGCCACAATACGGAATGTCAGCTTGAGGTCTCTAAGGTTTCTCTAAATTTTGTTTTCAGCTCCACTGAGTAGCCCAGTGCAGACCTCTTAAATATGTTGATCCCCCCCCCCCCCCCCCCCCCCCCCCGCCACCCCCATGAAGAATGGGTAACAAATTCCATTCCTGGAGACAATGTTTTTTTTTTTTAGTTTGCTCTTGACAGCTGCAGAACTTTGCTGATGAGATCTATCTTCCTGAACTGTCCAACACAATCAAAACAGTGTGTGCATGGTGTGCCAGTTGGGGCCACAAACTTTATCAGTCATCATTTCGCTTTAGCATAACACAATTACAGTACATGCTACTTCCATACACAAAATAGCAGTCCATGACAAGGACACAGAACAATCCAAAGGTAAAAACCCACCAAAACTAACATTGCCGCTCATCACCATCTTGAAAATGAAAGTATACCAAGTTGTATGAGATGAAACCCAATGCAATGAAGTTGAACCTTTTACATTAAACACCTTAGAATATGAATAAACAAATCAAGGATAGCTTGGAGGCAGTGGAGATGTGGTTTCTGAGATGAATGTTGTCAATATTTCACAAACATAGCCCTAAGTATTTTTTTTTTAACAATGATTAAAATAGACAGATACAAGCAACTATAAGAAGTGACAGTGTTCTCTAATTGAAGAATATTGTGTTTACTCAAAACTTCAGTGGTAAAAGTGACAGACAGAAAGAATGCTAAGTCTTAGACAGTGGCATGGATGATTATACCAGAATAAATACACAAAACCAAGAACTGAGATCATAGGAGAAACATAAATATCTCTACCATTTGGCAAAGCATATTACTACAATAATAATGGCGATAATGACGATGTTGATGATGATGATGATGATGATATGAAGATTAAGGTGATGGTCATGATCATGTTATGACACACACAAAAACCACAAAGTCTGTATCTGGTACTAACTGTCATGTGTAGAGGTGTAAGACCAGCAAAACCCTTAGCATTCACATCAGATCCTCTGTCAACCAGAGCAACCAAGCTTCCAGTGTTTCCTGACTGGGCTGCCACATGAAGTGGGGTTAACAGATGCTTATCACAGAGTTCTAAGGACACAGGAACAAGAAAATTGCTTGTATTATAATTTCATACACTGAAACCTACTTATTGTTAACATTTCCAGTCCCAAGAAAAACACTGTGTTTAATGGGTTCCTCAAAACTTACATATGTATATTTTTAAATTCAGTCACAATTGTTTAAATAGTCTGGCTGCACAAGTGGTCACATTCACTGTATGTTTGGCTTCTACTTAGAAAACGATTCACATTTTGTTTTCAGAGAGGTTAGTTTGCAGCATCCGTGGCTTAAGCACTGCAAGTCCGACTTGTAATTCCAATGTACCGAGATCGAAACCCACTGCTGGCTACGTGGATTTTTATCAAGGTATGGGGCGTCGCAGGTTGACCCAGCCTTAAATGGGTACGAGAATGTATGTCCTGGGGAAGTAAAGATCGCCGGGGTAATGCTGACCATTTTACCCACGTAGTGCCGATTGGTTTGTAAAAATATGGGTGCTTTTCCCATATGCCCAATGCGCCTAAAGGTCTGAAATGAGATCTTTACTCTTTACTACAGAGGTAAGTTCCCCTCATGAGCATTTGCTGCAGAATCTTCTGGTACTGACAGCGCTGAAATAAATTAGTTATAAACAACTTCTATTTAGTTCTTTGGTTGGTGTATTTGTTTGTTGATTAGTTGTCAATTCTCTGGAAGACTTTGAGTTTTAGAGACTTTTCTCTTGCCTCTGTTTTCCTAATCCACTACCCTCAAAGTCCAAGAACTTTTTGGGCCCGCATCGGCCTCATCAGTCATCTTCGTACTCATACTTGATGAAAAAGAGTGGTCATCATCATCTTGATGGACAACACACACACACACACACCCCCCCCCCCCCCCAAAGATTAGAGGAGAAATTTAACTTTTAACAATGTAAACGACCCATTTCAAACTAAGCACTTAGTGGTAAAACCTTTTTTTAATAGACTAATCAGAACTTGAATGGTGTTTCGGTCAATCAATACCATGCCGGCCACCTGTACTTTCAAAGAATATTCTTGATACCCGTCTTAGACGGGCTGACATGGAAGTTCAAGGTCAATTATAAAAATCAGTCTCACTGCATATCTGAACCCAAGACCTTTGACCTAGCAGACAACTTATGTGCTGCATGCTGATCCAGCAGGAAGTATACTGTCATTTTATTTTATAAAGAAACCACATTAAGCAGACTGTGAAACGTAACTTCTTCTGATATCAAAGCAACCGTGCTTTCAGTACAGACAATATTTTCTGTACATTTGTAACAAGTGGAAATATTACAGCATTATTTTGAAAATGATGCTGAATTCAGTGCCCCAAAAATTCTTTAAAAAAAAATAATAAACAATGTTGGTATCGGTAGAAGTTACGTTTCACAGTCTGCATAATGTGGTTTCCTTTATAAAATAAAATGACAGTATACTTCCTGCTGGAGCAGCATGCTGGAGCCCAATGAAATATCCTACACATTACAATGTGCCACACTTTTCATAAATAAATAAACAAGTAAATTTTCATAATTTATGTATGAGCACTGGAGAAATTTGCTGTATACCACCCTATGAAATAATCTACACTTTAGAATGTGCCACAATTTTCATAAAGGTCTGGGTAGTTTCACAGCAGAGAATGCCATTGGTGTGTTAGGCATTCATGTTTTTTAGACCAAAACAGATCAGGTGAAAGCTAATATTTTTTTTTCTTAACTTTCTTCCACTGACAATCATCTGAAAATATCGGAAACTGGTACCCATTTTTGTGAAGCTGGGTCAATCCCAGGGACTTAGTGGTCAGAGAAAATCTTGCAAATTTTTATGAACACATATAATGGAATAGACAATGAGCTTACCAAGTCAACTATATGTGTAATCTATTTACTTTATAGCGTGCACTTTATGGTATAAACCTTTTCGCCTGAGAAGCACAAAACCAACACTTCTGTTTGGGTCCAATTCCCCTTAAATGTCACCTTTCTAACTTGTCTATAGTGACCTGTTTATGAGACGCATAATTAATGCTATTGGCTGTTTTTGGTGCTTTCCCAGTATCTCCCCCTAGGATGACATCACAGGACAGTCCAATATTTTTTAGAGTGGTAAAAGCGGGTTTCCTGGCTTTCTGATGCTTTTAACTACCCAAAAACACCTAGCCTATCTCCCACCCACCTAAGTCCCATGAGAGAGTGTAGCCTAGGTCACATGACTGCATGCAGCCTATCTACCACCCACTAAAATATTTGATTGCCTGTTTTGGGGGAGATATTGTGATAGAACCGCTGTTTTCACTCCTGTGCAAACATTTCAGAGTTTAGGATAGAAATACATTACACTAAAATAGCATTTAGTGAGGGTTTACTATGAACCACAATGCTTTTTAAAAAAAAAATAAAGTCAAGTTACTGTCAAATACTCCCCTAAGCCTCAGTGACAGAGGTCATGTTTGTTTGTTTTAGTATCCAGAAGTCATGAGTTGTTAACCCTTAGGCTCGGTATTTTGAATATCGCAACCTTTCGGTCTTGATTCCATTGCAAATACCGTAAATCTGGGAGAAAATGTGGCTTTTCTGCCTACCCCCGGGAGTGAACCCGGACCACAAGGAGTTCGTCACCCGCTCACCGTGCAATCCGGTTTAGCCAACTACGCTAGAGAGACGGGCTGACAGAGGTCATAGGACGAGTCAGCCGATACATATATTTTTAGACCCTGGGGAATGTATTCTATTTAATGCTTCACCCTGTTTGTGTTTATTGATTAATACCCTAATATATCTTTATATTTTAAAATTAATTTTTTATGAAACCCCATTTAAATTAGGATTTAAAAAAAATTAGATAACAAATTTGTTGGTCACCTGTTTACAATTGTTTTTTTATTGTTTATTTTAATAAGGAACTTTGTGTGGAATTAGGTCATGATCTATTTTTTTTTTTTTTCAAAAAGTATTTCTGAGGTAACAGAGTTAAAAAAATTTTTGGCATTCTACATGCTAACTAACAGTATAAACATTTTGAACACATAATAAAATTTACATGTAAAATCTGTTCTCAGTCATTTTCAGATGACAATTTTATAACCATATTACCTATGTCCAAACCTCCTTCAACAAAGGCAACTGTTAGAGCCTCTGCAGAACCAGCATGGGACTGTGATGCATAATGCAGACTTGACCTCCCATTGCTGTCAGTCACATGAACATCCCTGTGAGAACAGAAACACTTTACATTCAGATGCTGGCAACATTAAAGCTAAAGGTAGATAAATGGAAGATGCTGCCATTGAGACTGGTGTAACAGGACTCACATACTCTAGGCCAGTGATTCTCAAACTGGTGCACCACTTGCCCTTTCTAAGGGTTCCGTGGCTGCTCCAAAAATTATGTAGTTTTAACAATATCCTGTGTTTTGGTGATAATCGATAAAAAGTAGACTATTATGGTAAATTTCAAAGTTTTAAAAATATAATTTTTATGCATAGACATTGTACAAGTATTTATATATCTCTTTAACTTTAAATTCTCTTACTATATACCCCTTTTCCCTTCGCTCCTTAACAATAATTCCATTATCTTGTTAGACATAGAGTGCAATAGGTCTAAGGGGCTCCACTATAGAAACTAATAAAAATGTACATTAAAGAAGCAACGGACAGGAAAGCTAATCCACATGAGGCCTTGGGGGACAGTAAGGGGCATCGGCTGAGAAGAGGTAGTTCCTGGATGGCACAGGCAGAGGTCACGATCAGATCGAAGCCGGGCAATTATATCTAGACTTTTATAATCTATGATGTTGAGGTACCATTACATTCATGTTTAGTTTCCTTCTTATCTAGGATGCTAAGGTAACCTACAGTCTTTTCTTTTTTCCTATTTTTTTAAAAAGATTTTTCCCTACTAAAACAGAATAATCAACTGTCATACATTTTTATCAAATCAATTATAAAAACCTTGCTTGAGGTAGATTTGAACCCAAGACCTTCTAGCCAGCAGGCAAGCATTCTAGTCACTGCCCTACTGTTGCTCACAAAACAAGAGTTAACTAAGAGTTAATAAAAAAAAAATGTGTGTGTGTGTTAAATGACTGACAGGCTTATACTCACGCTTTGCCTTTCATTAACTCCTCAGCCACCTGAACTGGACTGTAAAGTCTGTTGAGTTGAGAACTGAGGCGCTCGAAAAGTTGCATATCTCTGCATACAAGTATCAGTGGTGTCAATCCTTCTGCATTGTGACAGTCGACATTAATTTTCTGTTTGTTTTGCTGAAAGGAACAAACTGATCACTCATCATCTACTATCTATTACAGCAGTTCCCAATTTGCTAAGACATGAGGAACCCTTTTATTTTCGAAGGTCCGCATACTTTTTAAAAAATCGTCTTACTGAAAAACCAACGATTCACACAAAAAATGTGCACACACAAAAGATCGCATTCTAGAGATGAGCAATTTTTGTAAATGCAATTAAAGTCTCTGAATTTTCCCACCAAAAGGGAAGCACATATCTATAATAAAGACAGAATAGCTTATACACTTCTTCACTCTCCAATATTTTTAGTTTTAGAGGTAATTGTGTTGTACCTGTTTGGCTGACACATCCAGAACACTGTATTAGTTAACTGGATAAGCCTTCCTGAGACAGTATCTACTTCATTCAGGAGAAGGGTAAAGGTCACATATTCTCGCCTTTAGGTGTATTAGACAGTAACAACCATATATTTATAGTCCAATCAGCATGTGGCAAGTTTTCTTCTTCTTCTTCTTTTGTCCTACTGTTTACACTGTAAAGCACCCCAGAGAGGAATTAGATGTCGTTTCCTGTCTTTTGCTAGTCGTGTTGCTTGTGTTAATGTCACACTGTGTTTCTGTAGTGCCCCTTTTACACTGTGCCCATCTCTTTCTTGGTCGGCCTTTTGCATTGTAGCCTGCTGTTCTTGTGTAGTACGCTCTAGATGCTGGCTGATTTTGTTCCTTTCTGACCAGATGACCCAAATATTTCTTTCTTTGATGTTCTATTAAATCATTTTCCAGAGCTGTGCCTACCGTTGTTCTAAGTTCATTGTTGGTGACCTGTCTCTTCTTGTTTTTCCCCCCAACTTCGTTGACATCATATCTCACATGTTGCAATTTCTGAATTTCTAACACAACTCATCTCAAACATAATTTTGGCATGTCTTACAATCTCATCTCACATGTTGTAATTTTATCATATCTTACACATCTCATCTCACGTACTATAATTCTGGCATTTCTTACACATCTCATCTCATATGGTGTAATCACGTTGAAACTGTGTTTTCTTACACATCTCATCTCACATGTTGTCATTTTTCTTTTTATGTTTTTCTAAGAGTGACAGCTAATGTGGTCAATATCAAGGTTGCCAGACATGGTTAATCACAACAAAACATAAATGAAAATCAGTACCCATGGTAATGAGGTGTCTGAGAAAGGCTGTAGGAGTGACCAGAAGAGATAAAATCTGGAATGAGGTCATACGAGATAAAGTCTGTACAGAAACAATTCTTAATTACATAGAAAGACAGCAAATCAAATGGTTTGACCACTTGGAGAAAATGCCTTCTGATGCTATACCATTTAAGGCATATACCAAAAGAGGAGAGGGACATAGAGCAAGAGATGGACCAAGAACAAGAAAGAAGAAAACATCAGAGAAACTCTACAGCACCAACATGTGTCTGTAGTCGAAGCAGCTAGAAAAGCATGAAGCAGGACCTTATATCTCCTCAACACCCCAAGCGGTAAAAGAGGATGTAAAGAAGAAAAAGAAGAAGATCTATCCTTTTCCCAGATACTTTCTATTCAAGATCATTTGTAGAACAGTTTAAAAGAAAATAGCCAATTTTTCCAGGAGTGTTGGGAAATGAACAGGTAGACAGACTGACTGTTTCTGCACCATTGGGTGGTGAATTAATGCTTTAAATAATCTTGTAATCTTGATTGGCATCTTTCCGTGTTTCCAGATGATAGTGTTATACTGGGCGAGGAGGAGGTATGGGACTTCCAGCCCATGGCTATGGCGAGTGTGACTAGCAAGTCCTGCCCATGTTAAGAAAAGTCTTCTACAATTATAGCATGGGATTTAAGGGCCATTGTTGTGAACATTTGTGTTTAGTCTGTTTCTTCCCAGATGCTCTGCTCTCATTATTTCTGCAATCATTTCTTCCTTCATTCACATTCCCTTCCTAATGTGTCCCCTCCACACAACACAGTCCACAGCATCTAGTTCCCACAAGTCCATCAAATAATCTAGGCCATGAAATATGAGGTGAGTGATTTATCCCTTTTCCCAGATACTTTCTATCCAAGATAATTTCCAGAACATTGGAAAAGAAAATAGAAAATTTTTCCGAGAGAGCAGGAGTGTTGGGAAATGAACAGGCAGACAGACTGGCTGTTTCTGCACCAATGGGTGGTGAATTAATGCATGCCAAGCTAGATGTAGTAAAGGCCCTTTGACAGCAAGAAAATAATGTGTCATCGCAACAGGCCATTATGGTCTGGAGAGATAGATACAGCTACTAGTGACCACGGGATTTGGTCGACACTTTAAACTCAAAGGAAAGGTAAGATGGACATATAATCAAACCGTTACTGGTGTCATCATAATTGGAACACTCTGTTGGCTGCTGAAGAGGAGGACAGGGTGCGTATGGGAATGTCCTGAGTGTTGATGTTAGTGCTTAGCTCAATAATAGTAAAGAAAAATTGTCTGGCACTCATTTTTATGAAGTCAGACTGACTCCAGATGCAAAACAATCCTGTCACTGCTAGTGACTGAAAATGCAAGACTTTCTTGGCAGGCAAATGCAATAACCAAGAAGTAACCATTGTGCTACCACAGCTTCTTAATAAAGGTTTTTTTTAAAAACTGTGTTCTGTCTCCACAATGAAAGTAGGCTACAGTGTAACCACTGCTGTCTTTACATAGTCAGGCCCAAATCTCTTCCACAGAGTGACTCTCGTACCACTGTCCAAAAAGCATAAGAGCATTAAAAAAAAAAAATAAACCGACTGTAGCAGAAATTGAACCTTAGTGTTTAAGTAAAAAAGTAAAGTTCCCTTTTCACGCCTTTCAGCGCATCGGGCATATGGGCAGAGCGTCCCATATTTTTACAGACCATCAGCACTCTGTGGGTAATGTGGTCAGCATTACACCGGCTGTCTTTACTTTCCCAGGACAGCCCATCCTGGTACCCATTTTAGGCTGGGTCGACCTGCGACGTCCCATACCACTATAAAAATCCACGCAGCCTGCAGTGGGTTTCGATCGCGGTATGCTGGCTTACGAGTCGGACTCGCAACGCCTTAGCCACGGACGCCGCTCTTAGTGTTTAAGGATCATGAAATTGCTAAAAACAATAACTAACATCTAGGCCACAGAATTGCACAAGGAAGTATTATCATTTACCAATTTTTCAACCATCTTCCTAAATAACTTTAAAATGAACAAGGTTTTACATAGATAATAGTTAGAATATAACACATTCTTCAGCAATTCTTTTTTAATTGATTGTTTAAAATGGTTTCAGGTTGAGAGGATCAACTTCACTGCACTGGGTTTTATCCTATATGGCTTGGTCCCTCACAAAAGAATGGCTAGAAGCCTACCAAGAGCAGCACACAAAGCCCAAATTTCATATCTTCAGCTTTGATCCACTGGGCTTTCCCTAAAAATTGCACTTGTGTATTGAATGGCACAGTTTGTTAAATAAACTAGGTAATCCATAAAGTTAATGCATGACTTTTAGAGTACAGGGCAAGTGGCTTAACCATTTATCCATAGTGACCCTGTGTTGCTGATTGCTGTAGGCTTCCACACCCACTATCTAGCTTCAAGTTCAACCGTTTCTTCAAATCTTTTTCATGTTCACTTAGATTTGGATCTCTTAATGTTTAGCCATCATTTCCAGTTGTTTGTTTCAGGTGATCAATTTTTCATATAACATTGCATGCACATAGTTATCGCTCGTCTCTCTAGTGTAGTTGGCTAAACCGGATTGAGCGGTTAGCGGGTGACGAACTCCTTGTGGTTCACTCGCGGGTGTGGGCAGAAAAGCCACATTTCTCCCAGATTTACGGTATTTAAAATTGGAATCAAGGCCGAAAGGTTGCGATATCCATAATGCTGAGCCTAAGGGTTAACAACTCATGGCTTCTGGATACTAAAACAAACAAACAGCACATAGTTATCAATGATAAAAGACAGGCCTCGTCCCAAAGTATGCCAGCTGAAAGGTTTAAACATTGCAACTTTATCTTGAATTAACAGGGCTGCGTGGTCTCGAGGCATGGTGTCCGCCTCGAGTGCTAGAGATCCCAGGTTCAAGCCCAGGTGAAGGCTGGGATTTTTCACAAGGATTTCTAGTAATTTCTCCCTGGTCTCTGGGTAGTAAGACTGGAGGCCCGTGTGTATTGTTGCCCTGAGTAAAAAAAATCCCTTGGCAGTAAGAAATCAAAAAGAGCAGCCTAACGGCACGGCACAGGCAAAATTTTGAGTCAAAATCTAACTAAAGTATTTCAGGATCCTCACTGGTGTAACAGAGTTCGTGCACGGCGCTAAGATTCTTCAGGCTTGAGTTAAAATAATAATGGAGCACTTATGGGTTACACTCGTGTGCCATGATGTTGATCCGTTAAATAAACATAAACATATGAATTAACAGAAACACAACCAAATGTAATTTACAGAAAGAATATATTACCAGCACTTTCCTAACAACAGACAAGTTTCCCTGCCAGGCTGCCTGGAGAAGAAGTCTTTCATTCAATTCTTCCTGGGAATCTATCCAATCCAAGATGATGGTCTTGACTGGTAAATAAGCTGTCTCCAGAGCAGTCTGTGTCTCATAGTTGCACAAGGTTGCATCAGCTCCATGTCTCAGCAATAGTTCAACAACCTGAGTTGGGAAATAACATTTGAAACCTAGTACAGTTTTCTGCAAGAATTAGGTAGCCATGCTACAGCATTATAAACATAAGTAACTGTCAGGAGCAGAATCCCGTTACTGTCAACACCGAGGTCTGCATGCTTATCAGTGACAAGTCAGATTAGACAGATGTGCTGATGTTCACAGACTGGTCCGTTGAACGAGAACATAAAAGTGCATGGGCATTTGCAGCTCGTTCTGCAGGCAGAGCAGTCCAAGAAGCCAGCAGTGCCTTCTCCATGATTATGAGCAGTATGACGATGGAGGAGATGGCGGTGACATAAGCTTTCATGTGGCTAGAATCACAGAACTATTACCACGTGTGTGTACTGAGTGATTCTATGAGCATGATCCTACAGGTCGAGGCAGGCTCCAAATGCAGACAGTTGATTAAGTCATTGCAAAACTCTTCTTTCTGTGTGTGTAGTTACTTTCATATTTGTCCCAGGATGCAGGTGTTGTTGGCAATGAAACAGCTGACAGATTGGCAGATTCTGCATTAGTTTCAGATGGCCCTCCTATAGATCACGCTGACTGTGGCCCTAAGAGAAATGTGACATTTCACAGATTCTGCAAAAGAATACACGAACTGGGAGCTAAGATCAGCATGAGAAGTACACCGGACACACAAGAAGTCTTGTCAACCACCATAGGACTGGCACTATTAACCACTTGACACTGATGAATATGTTGAAGGAGGAATCTGAGCACCTATGGATATGTCTGGAGTGCTGTGAAATTAATGCAGATCATAACTCATAACTCAGAATATAAGTAACAAGTGAGCCCTTTAGTAATCAACAATGAACTGCAATTATAGTGATGGACTACTGACGTTGGCACCATTGGTGACTGCCTTCTGCATTTAAAAACATGTGTGAGTTGCTGGATTTTATTGGGACTGCTGTCTGTTTTACTTCCCACAGAAGACAGTGATAAGCATTATGTGTGGTTTTCACTGGCACGGTAAGAGAGAATTTATAAAATCACTCGCAAAGCTGGAACCGCAACTGATAACTACATTTCCAAGCACTGCAGGGAGTAAATTTACAAAGACAGATGATTAACAAAAGTTCTAGAATGAAGGGTAAAAAATTGAAGGCATGGTTATGTCCAGCCAGTGTCGAGGTAGGGATGACTACAAACAACTCTGTGGATGATGTCTTGTTTTATTAACAATCTCACATTATTATTATCATCATTCTTCTTCTTTTTCTTCTTCTTCTTCTCCTTCTTCTTCTCCTGCTCCGCCTGCTGCTGCTGTTACTGCTGCTTCTTCTTCTTCCTATCCTCCAGCATTCCAAGCAGTTGAGGTACACGGCTACAGATACAATCTGCCTCCATTCATCTCTTGCATCGGTCTTCTCTTTCCAATTGTTGACTACAATTGTGTGTAAGTTTGTCCGTATATTATCTTTTCATTGTCATCTTTGTCTGCCTCAAAGTCTAGTCACATTCAACTCTTTTAGGCATGCAGTTTTGTTCTCTCTGTTATCTTCCATTCTATCTTGATGCCCCAACCACTGTGGTCTCCTGGGCTTCATGATGTCAGTAATCAATAGTGAATTCACACATTTTATAAACTGTATCATTGCTTCTCCCTTTCTATTCTCTGCAGTTTGTATCTTTGATGGTCCAAAGAGTCAGCACAAGATTCTGTTCTCAAAAGTTTGTAATAAATTGTCTGACTGCATTTTTACATACAAAATGTGTCTCCTTATTGTATAAAAAGTGTCAGGTTTAACTGTTTTGTTTTGTGTTGTTGTTCAATATATAATCTGCACCCATTTAGGACAGCAGCGTACATCATGGTAGTGTTTGGTGAAGCTGACAGAGTGCCTGAATTTAACTTCTTAAGAGGCTGATTGAGGTATCTAGATCTTGTACTGTTGGACTGACATCTAAAATGCTACTCCTAGAGTCACACTGAATTGTCAAACTTTCAGGCAGCCCCCAAGAGGTTGAAAACCAATAATTCAATTGTTCTTTTTCATCAGCTGCAACTTCTAGGTACCTAGACTGAATTAAATACACTAACAGAAGCAGAAGTAATGACAATGATTTGTGGTGGTGATGATGGTGAAGATGATGATAACTATGATGATGCTGGATGGTGGTTATGACAGTGTACCTTAGAATGCCCCCTTTTGGAAGCCCAAATCAAGGCAGTGTTGCCAGTTCTTTTATCCACACAGTTGATGTTCAACCCAATGTCACTGCTCTGCTGTAGAAGTTGTTCAAGTCTCCTAGAGTTCCCATTCTGTATGATCATGTCAATTAAAACATTAGTATAACAATGTAAATAGCCTCAAGGAGTTTTACTTTTGTGGTTATTATGTCAGTTAGCCAACTAGTAAACAATTACGTGGAAGCAGCAGAGATATGGTTTTAACTCTCTCAGTCCCAGGGGTTTAGCATTAGAGGCTCAATAGGTAGTACAGAGAAACATAAAAAATCAGTGTATTTTGCATTCAATGGGCTTCTAAGTAGAAACTTATGAGATAAAAAAAAAAGTAATAAAAATGACTTGTTGGAAATTAACTCACAAAGTGTTACCCACACTAGAAGAAGAAAATTTACATTTTTTGGGTCACAGAATGAGAAGAAAATTGTAATACATAGTGTTACGGTGGGAAAGTTAAAGTGGAGAAGAAACTTAAGAGGACCAATAGAGAAGGTGATGGACAATTTAACATTAGAAGAAGACAATCTACATTCCTTGGTCACAGAATGATAAGTAGAAAGCGGGAGAACATCCTTACATGGGGTGGGGGGGGGGGGGGGTTAAAGGGAAAAATAACCTCAGGAAGACCGAGTGAGAAGATTCTGGACAGTTTGACATCACAAAATGGAAGATCATCTGCATCAGAAATGACTGAAAGTAGATAAGACAGCTGTGGATATACATGACTACCAACACAACACAGACTGGACTTGAAGAAGAAAAAGACATGGCTACTAAGTTTAAAATCAAGAAATGGATTGTATATGACTTGGTAGTGAGTTGAACAATGAAAGAATGATGAAAAGAGAGCATGAGCAGAGGAAGCTGATAGTGTTGGTTTGTAACAAGGCATTACTTCACTTGGGAAAATACACAGATGTTTTATCTCCCTCAGCAAATACTGTAAGATTTAGATGTCTGTAATTACAGTAACATTCTGGTTGTAAATACATCAGATTTTGATTCTTCAAAGTTTTGTTCCTCAAATTTTCTAGGTTATGGAACATTGAAGAGAAGTAATCAGTTCTCTTCCTCACCAAAATGATTCACTACATATGTTAATCAGACTGTCAATATTCTTATGGTATTTGCCACATGGTATTAGTAACTGTGTTACTGAAGCATGTAGCATTACCAGATCAACAGACTGGGAGATGTCGCACACACACAAAAACTGTTTGTGCTTACTCCCTCTCAATGACTGCAGCCTGAAGGTTTTATACCCGGTCCCTCAAACAGCCATATTGCTTGCTTGCTTGTTGTACCCCACCAGGACATCACACAAGCAATAAACACCTAGTGACACAAAGGGCCACCATGCGGATGGGTATCACCCATGAAGAGGTCCCAGAAACCCCCTTAAGCCATTAGGCCAGATCTATGGCTAGGCTATTTCGATGCCCTGGCTATATTCAGGGCCCCCGGCACAAGCCAGGGTGGGGCTTCAAATAATGACAAATTACATCCCACATGGGGATGACTGATAGGTTAAAATCAGCCATATTTCAGGTAGCATTCCAGAAGGAACAAATTCAAGATACCTAGTCTGACTGTATAAAGCAGTTTTATTAGGAAACTGTCGGCTCTGTGGCTAAGCCGAGGCGAATGCTTCCTATTGCTGGGATGCTGGGTTCGATCCCATCTGCAGCCATGGGCCTTGCATTGGTTTCGACAGTGGTATCAAGAAAGCCTACCATCCAGAAAGCAATGACAAACTCATCATCATGTAGCAGGTCCTTTGCAGAACGTCGCTCTCATCACAGTCCGCCTGTAAGAAACTCAGTCTCTTGCCAGTTCTCCCGCCTCATAAACTTTCACACTCAAGGAGTCACATATCCTGTGCCCATCTTCGTGTCGGTCGGCCCCTGCCCCTCCTTCCTGGTACCATGCCTTCTGCTATAATTTTTTCCAATCCGTTGTGGCGCTTGATATGACCAAAATATTTCAGCTTTCGAGAAAGGATGCTGTTTATTAGCCAATCTTCCTTGATGTTCAGATCTTTTAAAATGTCAATATTTCTCATCTTCTTTGTCCAAGATATTCTGAGAATCTTTCTATAGCATTTCAGCTCAAAGGCCACTATTCTCTTTCTTAAGGACTGAGAGATAGTCCACGACTCACATCCGTATGTAGCCACAGGGAAGATGCATGCTCTCAAAATTCAAAATTTTATCTATTTGCTGGTGCTAAACCATAGACTTTTAAGGCTGTTCAATCTTTGCATTGCTATGGCCATCCTCCATGGCAAACTACTGGATGTAAATTTGCCTAGAAAAACCACACAACAGCCAGGGGCTGTTGGGGTTGGTTCTGCAACGTCCTGTAAAGGATACTCAACTAACCATTGGGAAACTATACAGCTACACACACTGGCAACAATGAATCTCTTCTAACTGCAGTGAAAAGGGCAAAATGAAATGGTATGGACATGTAATCAGATCTTACACCTCTCAAAAACAATACTACAGGGCTCAATACAGGGGAAGAAAAGAAGAGGCAGGCCAAGAAAGACCTGGTTATAGAACTAGATGGATTGGACAGGACTTATGCATGCAACCATGAAGTCCACTGCAACTGACCATCAAAGATGGAGGGAGCTGATCAGACAGTCAACAGCAACTGATGATCAAGTGATGAGTAGTGTTACAGGACTATGATGTTAAGGATGCAGCTACAGTAAGTAGCACCTTGGTCAGAAAATATGAGCATACCACTGTTAACATCAAGTATGGTCAGGTTACAGAATTCTACCACTGCTGGTTCAACACTGGTCAGAAAAAGAAAAGAAAAAAGAATCATACAAGAACAGATCTTTAACTCTGAGATTAGAGAGAACATTTCACAATCTTTGATACACCAGGTTTAAATATCCCAGCAGACAGTCTAAAGAAAAGACTGTTCTTGTGGCTTTTAGATAGATAAGAGAGTAAGACTTCATTATAAAAATTCCCAGTAAACAACTGTGGATGCATTCATTCACTGAAGCCAGCTTCTGCTGTGGAGATGGCACACAATGTTATTGTTTTACTATCCTGATAATGTTTAATTAGGAATTAATATCACAGCACTCAGAACATTCCCATAAGCACTCCGTCCCCATCTTCAACAGCAAGCGCAGAGTTCCAAGTCTGATGGTACCAGTAACAGTCTGTATATCTATATCACCTTTTCCCTGCCGAGTGTCAGCCAGAGACCCTGGTCACTCCTTGCAGCACCATTCTTGTCATATCGTGATAATCCATCCTATCTTGATAAGTAAGTAAAGATCACTTTTCACGTCTTTGGACGCATCGGGCATAGGGGAAGAGCACCTATAAACTTACAGACCGATCGGTACTAGATGGGTAATGTGGTCAGCATTATGCCAGCCGTCTTTACTTTCTCAGGACATACATCCTGGTACCCATTTTAGGCTGGGTCAGCCTGCAACACCCCATAAAGTGATAAAAATCCACACAGCCAGCAGGGGGTTTTGATCGCGGCACATTGGAATCATAAGTCAGACTCGCAATGCCTAAGCAACGGACGCCACCCTATTTTGATAAGCAAGCATAATGATCACAACGCCACAAGGCTCACACAAACCACAATGATTTTATTTTTACAGTCCCTAAAATAATAAACTGCTAAAACCTATAACAGATTATCTTGACAAACAGAATACAAACCTTTGCAGAATTCAGAAATAATTCTTCTACATCAGTAGATCCACCAAGGATAGTTGAAGGTATGTCATAGTTCTTGGCTGATGAGGCTCGTACTTTAGTTCTCTCACGCACCAGGTGAATATTGTTTTGTGAAGCTACATTGGACGATGATGCTGTTTTCAATCCACTAAGTACGGTTTGTTTAGAAGATGGCTGAACATTCTCTGACCCCTTCTTGGTATTCATTGTAGGGAATATTCACCTGCAAATAATAATGCAGTACAATATTCAAATACAAAAAATGAAATGGGATCAATAGAAGTACAAGTAAAGGACCCTTTTCCACACCTTGATGTATATTGAGCATATAGGGCTAGACCCATATTTTTATAGACCAATCGGCACATGATGGGTAATGTGGTCAGCATCACGCCGGCCGCCTTTACTTCCCAGGACTGCACCTGGTACCCACTCAAGGCTGGGTCGACCTGGGAGCCAAAGTCAATTCTGAAAAAGGTCTAGCCCCATCAGGCAGCGTACCCATGACCTTCCAATCTGCAGGCAAGCGTCTAGCCACTACGCCACAGCGACTCCCAAACAGAAGTAAAGCTGTGACAAATTTATTGAGTAAATGTACAAAACTAAATAGCAGAACTGGTCAGCTTTACAGAAACATTCTTCTTTGTGTTCACAGGCTGTAAACTCTGGTGGAAAAACCTGTTTGTTTGACCACTTCTGGACTAGCCTTTTCCCCCAGAACCTGAGTTTTGTTGTGTTTTACAGACCTGGCTTATGTGAGACAGATGCACTCTGACTTTGAAGAGAACCCTAATGTGAGAACCCATCTGTTTTGACCAGGCTCTCATTTGGGAACCTATTTTTAAGATGACCATCGAGAGGCGTAGATAGGTCTTGACTAGTATGAGCCTTATTTTCTCCAGGTCATAATGGTGTGTTGGGAAATGACCAGGCGGGTAGACTGGCAGGTTTTTGCACCACAAGGTTGTGAATTGATGTATGACAAGCTAGATGTTGTAAGGGCCTTTAGGAGCGAGTGAACAGTATGGAGGCACAGAGAGATCATTACAGTCTGACAAGGACAGTGGCGCTGCGAGGAGTTACCAGGGGATCTGGTGGAGGCTCAAAACTTAGGGGGAAAGAGACACTGATGTACAACCTGACAGTTACTGGCATCCTCCTGATATCATCATTCCTAATCTGATCTTTTCTTGTTACACTAGCATAGTACGTGTAACGAGGAAAGATAAACTTAGGAACAATGATATAAAGAGAAGAGTCGGCAGAGAACCAATAGTGAACTTAATAGGTAGACAACAAATCAAATGGTTTGGCCATGTAACAAGATTGGCATCAGACAGGGCGACCACTATTTATCATTCCAAGATATTCTTTGCATTCGTTTCACACTGATAATGCTACACAGAAAACTTACTTCATTGCATATTTTGGTGCTCAGCTATTTTCAGCATAAGACAGTTTTGCCACAGATGCTCTGTGGGAGAAAATAACCACTATGGGGAAAAACAATTTTTCAAAGTGGCTAATTAGTTTGTTGGTGTCAGGGAGTTTCAACTGAGCTGATCTAAAACACCAAAGGCTGAGCTCTATTTGAAGATATAAAATAAAAGCCTATATGTCTCAATATATGATTACAAAGGCTGTCTTGACAGCATGACATGTCACTGGGCATAGCAGTACACCAGGTCTTGCCTAAATAACCATTCTCTCTTTACTGTAGTTACCATATTTTTATGGTGGTGGGGAAAAAAAAAAAGGGGGGGGGGGGGTGTCATGAACCTGAGGGTTTACAGCCACATGGCTAGTGCAGTTAAGATGAACTATAGTTAAGGATTTTATTTTTGCTAATTTTTTTTTGTTACGACCCCTCTAAAGTGGGTACAAGAAAATTCCCTGGGCATAAAGGCAGCCAGCATGATATGGACACATCACTCATCGAGTGCTAATTGGTCTATAAAGAAACTGGTCTAGCAAAAGATGCAATAAATGACATGAAAAAGAGTCCTTTACTGTATTTTACAACCATAACTGTGTTCTCAGAATCATGTACAGAACCATCAGTGTACACTGCTACAGTTTTGTCCTGAATGTTCATTTCTTAGTTTTACTCTAATTTTTGCCAGACACCTGCAATACTTATTATGTTCGCTGCCAAAAATGATAATTACTTGGTACAAGATGCTCTTATGTGTGAGACACTGCATATCAAATACAGGCTGATGTGTATCAAATAAGATCTCCTGTGCATTGTACCTTCTGACTATGCCAACAAAGTAAAAATAACAAGATGTGCCAAACAAGTAATAATAGCAAGATGTGCCAACAAAGTCAACAAGATGTGCCAACAAAGTAATAATAACAAGATGTGCCAACAAAGTAATAATAACAAGATGTGCCAACAAAGTAATAATAACAAGATGTGCCAACAAAGTAATAATAACAAGATGTACCAACAAAGTAATAATAACAAGATGTACCAACAAAGTAATAATAACAAGATGTGGCAACAAAGTAATAATAACAAGATGTACCAACAAAGTAATAATAACAAGATGTGCCAACAAAGTCAACAAGATGTGCCAACAAAGTAATAATAACAAGATGTGCCAACAAAGTAATAATAACAAGATGTGCCAACAAAGTAATAATAACAAGATGTGCCAACAAAGTAATAATAGCAAGATGTGCCAACAAAGTCAACAAGATGTGCCAACAAAGTAATAATAACAAGATGTGCCAACAAAGTAATAATAACAAGATGTACCAACAAAGTAATAATAACAAGATGTGCCAACAAAGTAATAATAACAAGATGTACCAACAAAGTAATAATAACAAGATGTGCCAACAAAGTAATAATAACAAGATGTGCCAACAAAGTAATAATAACAAGATGTGCCAACAAAGTAATAATAACAAGATGTGCCAACAAAGTTATAATAACAAGATGTGCCAACAAAGTAATAATAACAAGATGTACCAGCAAAGTAATAATAACAAGATGTACCAGCAAAGTAATAATCACAAGATGTGCCATCGAAGTAATAATAACAAGATGTGGCAACAAAGTAATAATAACAAGATGTGGCAACAAAGTTATAATAACAAGATGTGGCAACAAAGTAATAATAACAAGATGTGGCAACAAAGTTATAATAACAAGATGTACAAACAAAGTAATAATAACAAGATGTACCAGCAAAGTTATAATAACAAGATGTGGCAACAAAGTTATAATAACAAGATGTACCAACAAAGTAATCATAACAAGAGAGCTGTTGATTTTGTATTGCAGTTGTAAGGGATTTATTTATTTTCTTCACCAGATTTAATTGTCACTGTAGTTTGGTTCAATAAGACACAGTGAAATATGTCAAGCAATAAGCAGTGTAATCTAGTGTTTGTCTTCTGTGTCTAAAAGTAAGACAAACAACAAACAAATGTGCTGTTTCCTCAAAAAGCAATTTAGAAACCTGTTCTCTGCAAATTCATAAACAACTAGCAATAAACTGCTTGGGCTGGGAAAATGGAAAGGAGGAGAAAGGTGAAGTTAATCAGTAAGTGTAAAACTAAATGAATTATTAATATTATGTGTTTGATAATTACCTGTCTTCTGATCATTTCATGTCTATAAATTACATTTAGCTGTAAGATAAAAAAAAAAAATAAGTGTCCTCTTGTATCTACCAACTAATGTTTCCTTTTTACGTTTCTGCCACCAAATATATACTGAACCTTTATATCACGAACAAAGAGATAACATTTCATATTGGCCGTGCGCCAACACCATCTGGCCTCGGGGTCGATGCTAGTCTGGCAATCAAACACAGTAGTAACCAGTGCAGCTTTAATTCCGTGTTTACAAATTGTTTTCCCATCTATAAAACTATACAAAAGCATTATAACACACGTCGCGTTAAGCGTCCGTACTTAAATGCTACATCATATAATGCTGATGGAAATACACAATCTATACGATCCAACACTTAATAGAATCTTAAGAAACGCCGTTCAAGTTCAAAAAGTTCATGCCATTTTAAGAACATAATCAACAAGTCAACATTCAAGATATCCTCAGCAAAGGAAATAATAATTATCAAACTAAACATTTTACAGCAATCCTTTCACGATAAAACAATTACGCGAGCATTTTAAACTAACAAATTATGTTAAGGAAATTTCTTTGTTACCTACATCACGTTACAGGTTACAGATCATAGCCGCTGCCAAGTCCCATTTGTAAATCGTAATCCCTAGTCACTGTTGACATTTGCATAGTAACCGACGTGCCGCCATATTGAAGGTGTCTAACAACCGGCAATCACCGAATCTGTTTCATTGTGTAGAGAAAAAATAATACAAGTCATTAGATGGTAATTCTTCTGAACACGTCATTAGACTGGGGTTGAGTTGAGAACGGATCATACAGAATTCAGGACATTTCCATAAGCGCTCTATCCCTATCTCCATAAGACAGCGCATAGTTTCAGTTCCGATGATACCAGTAGTGACCATTATGTTTGGGTATATATGTCCGTCTAGTCTTTCCTATGAGAGTTGAGTGTCGGCCAGATCTCCATATTATCCCGCCCTTTTCTCACTGTACAGCATTCTCTTTAGACCACGTTTGTGATTTATTTGTGGTTCAACATTGTTCACTCCTAGACGCCCTTCACTACATGTTGAATGGTGAATCAAAAATCGACATCCCGGCACCCGGGACGCTCCCATGAGCGCTTCGTCCCCATCTTCAGCAGCAAGCGAAGAGTTGAAATTCCGATGGTACCAGTAACTGTCTGATTGCATATCCGTCTCTCCTTTCCCCTGAGTATCGAGCGTCGGCCAGATCCCTTTGTAACTCCTCGCAGTGGCAATGGCCCTTCACTACATCTATCTCACCACTCACTCTAGCAGCACCAGTCAATCTGTTTGCACGTTTGTTTCCCAATCCACCCGAATTTCCGGGAGAAAATATCCTATCCAAAAGGACGCTAACTACCCAGGTCCTCTAAAGCAGTGTTCTTCAACCCCTGGGCCTTGACCCACTGGTGGACCACGGACAAGTCCAGGCGGGCCATGAAATGTTTTTTGCTTAATTATCTACCATAGTAGAGTAGATAGTTTATCTCTTCCAGTATTAAAGTCTGCAATATTAATACATAAAGGATGAAAATAAACAGGTAGAAATTCTGGAAACCTCTCTCAGT